TTATATATATATATATATAGATACTGCAAGTGTTTACTTTCTTTTTCATTCTTCATAGTTATTAACATGACTAATGAGCATCCCTTAATTGTACTCCCAACATCGCACTTTTTTTTATTTTTGCATAATTTTCTTCCACACCAAGCTATGATTTATGAAGAGAAAATATGCAGAAAAAAAAGTATGAAGCAAATGGATTTTAAAAGCAACTCTTCTTGATTTGTTAAAGTTCTTTATAGCATGACCAAGCGGTTAGATTGGTATCGAGTTTTCTTTTAAAAGGAACATATGAAGAAGTGATATTGCAGCAGCTTAAAAACAGTAAAAAGGGAACAACATTTACATTTCATACTAATCAATAAATCGATTAATATCTGATTTTCTCGATTAGGGCACCTTTAGGAATTTCCAGACGTCTTTGGTGTGGAAACGACTGAAATAATAATAGTAAAAATATTATTAATAATAAACTACTGAAAGTCAACATATTTAGTACTTTCGTATAGGGGTTCGGTATACAGGTAAAAAAAAAAGGTAGGATAAATTGTATTCTAACATTTTAAAAATGTGTAAATTTCAATCCCTTTTTCAAAAGCTACCGAATTGATCATCTTAGGTGTATAGGTCATCGTCTTCTCCAACATTTGGGTTAGCGTTGGCGCCATCAGGTGAGGCACCTCCACCGGCATCTCGATTTGTTCTATTTCCCTCACCCAGACTGATGCCGTCCCCGCCAAAAGCGCGAGATTGTCTCAAAGAGGTCTTGAACATGTCATAGCGGCGGATGTCCGCATCACTCACAGAGCGCCGTGCCCCGCGCATGGCCTCCTCGACGTGAGCTCGCGTAATCTCGGGAACCGGGTCAATATCTTCGGTACTCGAGATTGCCCCCGCCTTGAGAAGTTCCTCCAATTGGATTTCTTTCGCGATGGACTCGCGAATTGCCATCTTGCAGGCACGTTGACAAATACCGGCGAGGTCAGCCCCAGAGAAGCCGTGCGTAGCGGCAGCTATTTGATCAATATCAACATCCCCCGCCAGCGGGGATTTGCGGAAGTTCGCGCGAATTATAGCCACACGAGACGCTTTGTCAGGTAGTGGTATGTAAATAAGTTGATCAAGCCGGCCGGGCCGAATGATGGCGGGGTCCAGCACATCCGGCCTGTTGGTCGCGCCAATAATAAATACATTCTTTTTCACATTCATGCCGTCCATCTCTGTCAGGATCTGATTGATAACGCGGTCGCTAGCACCACCATCGCCGTGCCCCCCACGGGCCTTGGCTACCGAATCCAGCTCGTCAAAGAAAAGAACACATGGAGCCGCGTTCCGTGCCTTGTCGAAGACGTCGCGCACATTCGCCTCGGATTCGCCAAACCACATTGTGAGCAACTCAGGGCCCTTGATAGAGATGAAGTTCGCCTGGCATTCCGTCGCGATTGCCTTCGCCAGCAGCGTCTTTCCACATCCAGGAGGGCCGTAGAAGAGGACCCCTTTGGGGGCGGAGACCCCGTACTTCTCGAACTTCCACGGGTACTCGACCGGGTACTGCACCAGCTCCTGCAACTCCCGTTTGACCTCGATGAGACCGCCGACGTCGTGCCAGGTCACGTTTGGCGTCTCCACCTGTGTCTCGCGCAGGGCCGAGGGGTTCGTCCGTGACATGGCCTCGCGAAAGTGCTCTTGTGTCACGCACATCGCGTTCATCACCTCGGCATCGATCGTGTCGTCCTCCCAGTCGATCACGGACATCTTCTCGCGAATGCACTGCATGGCGGACTCCGTGCAGAGCTGGGCCAGGTCTGCCCCGACAAAGCCATGCGCGTCCTTGGCGATCTTCTCCAAATCCACCGCTGGGTCGAGCTTCATGTTTTTGGTGTGGATGCTGACGATCTCGAGCCGGCCGATCTCATCCGGGACCCCGATGTCGAGCTCGCGGTCAAAGCGACCGAAGCGGCGGAGCGCGGGGTCGATGCTCTGCGGGCGGTTCGTGGCGGCCATAACGATCACCTGCGAACGACTCTTCATCCCGTCCATCAGCGTCAGGAGCTGGGAGACGATGCGCTTTTCGACCTCGCCTTGGGCCTTATCCCGTTTGGGCGCAATGGAGTCGATCTCGTCAATGAAGACGATCGCCGGCGAGTTCTTCTCGGCCTCTTCAAATGCTTTTCGCAGGTTGCTCTCAGACTCGCCGGCCATCTTGCTCATAATCTCAGGTCCGTTGATTAGGAAAAAGAAGGCACCGGTTTCATTGGCAACCGCTCGAGCAATCAGGGTCTTGCCGCTGCCGGGTGGCCCATACAAAAGAATGCCGCGTGGAGGCTTGATGCCGATATTTTTGAACAGTTCCGGGTGGCGAATCGGCAACTCCACCATCTCGCGGATCTGCGCAAGCTGCTTGCGGCAGCCACCGATATTGTCGTACCCGACACCATCAAGGGCTTCCTCATCTTCGCGCCGAAGAGGCTCCCCTTCGGTATGAATAATGGTCTCCGGCGAGACGATGCAGTACTCGCCCGGGTCTACCTCCACGACTTTGAACTCCACCGCGCGCATCGCACCACGACAAATAAAGCAGTCCCCTTTCTTAACCGGTCGGTACGCATCTAGAAAGTAGGGCTTCAGGAAATTCTCAAAAAAATCCCCCGAAAGGTTCTGTACAGTATCATCAAAGGGGAGCACGTGAATGCGATTGCCATATGGAACGTCCTTGGCTGGCGAGATGCGTATCGAGTCGCCGAGGTGAACTCGAATGTTCCGTCGTGCGACTTTGTTCATTTTGATCTTACCAACCGCACATTCACTGTCCTCCATGGCAACAAAAATAGAGGAGCGGCGTTTTTTGCCTTTCACAAGGACTGTATCACCGCGGAAAATGTTCAGCTCCTCCATGCGCTCCGGGTGCATAGATATAATGCTGTTATCATCGTTAAAAGGTTCTTCGACGATTAGCTTGTTAAGCTTTGTAGCTTTCTTTTCCTGTTCCATGGGCTTCTCCAAGAATAGAATTGGGAAATTGTCAATCAAATTCGAATGATGAAAATGTTGTCTTCTTTGATTCCGAAAGATATAAATGGTCCTTAACGGTGGTTAATTATAATTTACCCCTTTTTTTCCCTTTCCCTTCGCAGCTATTTTTCTTTGATGAGCAAATATCCCAAAAAGAATAAAACAAGTTCAGGATGATAATGCGGTAGTATAAAAATAGATGCTTTATTATATAACAATGCTAATAATAATAAGGCTCCTGGTGATAAAATAAAAAATGAGATGAAGAAAACAGTGACGTTACCCATCAAAAAAAAATCAACCCATCAGTATATAGGTATGCATATATGCGCTTGTGCTAAAATAAGAACTTCAGTATACCGAGTTAAAGATGCACCAGTGCCGAATCTTTATTTTAGCTTTACTCCCATTTTTCAAGAAAGGTAAAATAAACAAACACAGAAGGGACACTCTTCCATCTTTAAGTTTTTCAGAACTTAAGCAGGAAACAGATAAAGGAAAGTAATAGGCAAGTAACATCACAACATTGTGGAGTTACGGAATATCAATAATGAAATAGAAATACCATTCGTGATATAATTTTTTCAAGATAAAAAATTATATAGATAGGAGCGAATCATTAGAAACTAAAAGGAAAAAATGGAGTCTAATAAGGTGAGGTAGTACCATCACCTCTTCCCCCTCTCCTTCTTTTCCCATATATACCTCTAGAGCAACTACTGCTTCTTTGTCGATATATTTTCCGAATCTTTTCTTATATTTTTTTTCTCATTAACTTCTTCTTGGATGTTTTCTTCGTGACCTTAATTTGGTCCTCAATGTCACTCACCATTTCTGCGATAGGAGTCCCACTCCTTGGGCGCTTCCCACTTCGAGTTTCTCGAAACGCATTAGGACAGATTTCATTCAACAGGCAATCTGAACAGGATGGGCTGACAGCCCGGCACACCGTCTGCCCCAGACCCACTAGAAGCTTGTTTACTTGATCCCACCGATCCCGAGGAAGCCATGATTCGAGTACCTTTCGAGTTTCCTCAGGGGTTTTACAGCTCTCAGGTGTCCAACCGAAGCGTTTTGAGATACGATGCACATGCGTGTCGACGCCAATTCCAAACACTTTTTGATCGGCACTCTGAAAGAAAAGATGAGCCATCTTCGGGCCCACTCCTGGAAGCGCAATAAGATTTTCATAGGTTGTTGGTACATTCCCGCTGTGTTGCGTCACGATAATTTCAGCCGCCCCTTTGATATGTTTCGCCTTTGTGTTATGAAAGCCAACTTTCTCAATGCACACATCGAATTGATTGAGTGGCATGTGCACCACAGTTTGTGGTGTGAGATTGTGCCGCATCAGGTTCTCCATGGCAGCAGCAGTAATATGATCTTTGGTTTGGGAGCTCAGCATGAGAGCCACCAATATTTGAAACCTTTTGGTTTCCTTAGGGGCTTTCGAATCATATAAACAATGGCAGCCTACTGTGTCTACCGGTGCTGTCAAGGTTTGGCGGTATTGCGCGAGTTGATCGAAAAGCTTTCGCCAATTAGCAGGTGGTTTAAAATCTAATGGAAGGGGCATGTCACTTTAACAAGTTAATTTCAGGATATCAAGGGTTGGTATGGTCAAATTAAGTTTTAATTCCAAGTAATTTATAAGGGAGGGAGAGGGAGGTGTGGCTAAATTCTAGACCCTTTGATTCCAGTTTATGTTTACTTCCCTTTTAGTGTAGAAATAAATTGTTTCGTGGATTTGTAAGCGAATAAATAAGAGAAAAAAAGTGGTGAGAAAAAAAAGTCCTATAGGATATGTGGCAACGTTTAAGTCTTTTTCCTCTCTATGATTGTATTTGTTTTAAGTTTGATGCTTAGAAAATTGTCGTAAACCCTCAATTTTCTAGCCTTTTTTTTTTGAGAGAAAGAGGGCCATTCCGAGCAAATAAACTGCATGGAAAATATTTGAAAAAATACAATTTAAGTAAACTAATACTGGTTTACATAGTTGGAAAAGGTAGGGATGAGGATGCAAATGGCCTGTGTTCAATGCCTTCCTGTATATCACCTGGGCTACATTCTGCACTAAGCGTCTAATGCTTATGGTCGCCATGACATCTGCCCGTAGCGGCTTCTATGAACACCTTAAATCACAGCGCTGCTAAAAACCGATGTGGACTGAAAAAGTACTTCATATCCGTGAGGATTTTTAAGAATACTCATTCGAAACGCTGGATTGTTGCCAAGGGCCCACAGCATATCACTTGCGGCCTTTAGAATTTTTCTATTTTCCAGGTACTCAAGCGTTAAAGAGATAATTGGGTTGACAAGCTGCATCACAGAATGACAAGAGGAATTGACAGAGTCGACAAAATGCTTACCCTCAGCTAGGTTCCCGATGCACCCCATAAGTGCCTCCATCAGGAAAAGGTTCTGGTGCTGGTGCTTTATGAGGAAACACACGTGTTCGATAGTTTCTTCCTGTAACATGTACATCCCAGTTTCATTGTTGCACCGCAATAAAATAGACAGAAATTCTAAGCTGAACTTCTGCAAGACCATCTCCTCGGGGAACTTTTTCATCGACTCAAGAACCAATTCTGTCACTTCAATTCCAAAAAAGCTTGAGAAGTATGAAGTGTACGTTTCCGAAGAGCTCGCCGTTGCTACTAACAACTCGGTATTGCCGTCATTTGTAATAAAAAAATCCCCACTATCATTATCGATAGATAAGCGGTATTGTGGTGCTTGGCCGATAAGTATTGAGGCGGTATTGTACAAAATTACCACCCCATACTGTAATATGCTAGTGTTATATGAATATTGATGCATAAGATCTACTACAATTTTGATTCCACCATTTTCAATGATATTGTTCGCGCAGGACTCTTTCCCGACACTTAACTTCCATAGTGCCCGAAGACCCATTCCTACAAGTGCTTCTTCGTCACGGAATATGCAAATGTTACTCAAGATCACTTCGAAAATGGAGAATTCCTCTGTAAACTCTAGGGACTGAGACATCTCTGTCAATTTCTTGAAAACTTGACGCGCTGCATCCTTTTGTCTAAAGTTTGCCAATATTAATCCAATGCGTGAGGGGTTCTTTTCGGAATACCACGTCTCCCAGATGGCATTAAAAGTCAGGGTTTGACCTTGAAGCTTTGAAAATCGATATAGCTGTTTATTAGCAAAGAGATGTTGGATTATGGGAACAATGGAGAGTACACGGTTGACAATACCTTCACCGTCTGTATGACTTTGCGACTGTAGGCCAACCAGTTGACCGAACTCGTTAAACGCAGGGCACCCTGAGGTCTGCTCGATTCCATTTGCTTTTAAATAATATAAATCATTGAAGCATCGTAGAACTTCTTCAAAACGGTGCTGTTGAGTGTAGTTAGGAGTCTCGTTACTATGTATACTTTCAAACGTCCCGTCATCCGGTGTTTCCTCTACATCGCCCACCGAAGCGGCTGAATTCGTTGCAAAAACCTCGGTTCGTGGGATAAGGTGCTGAACAACTAAAATAACCTCTCCTTCTCGCACTGGTGGCCACTCTTTCAGTGTTAACGGGAGCGCAACTGGGACTACGTTGAAAAGATGGTCCTCACTGCACGCAATCAGACAGTAATCTATGAAATCTGGGTAAACCGCATGAAAGCACATAATATCGGGAAGGAAAGCTACATCAATGGGCTTTTTTTGGTTCCCTCAAAAAATGTGGCCACAAGTGAATCGGTGGGTTGGTTGCCATCTTTTAGCAACGGAAATAAAGCCGATTTCGAGGTTAAAATGACACCGTTCGCCACAAGAACACCTGTACCCGTGGTATGGTTTGTGTCAACATGGCGAATGCGACAGATGGCTGGAATTTTAGCGCATTTAACAAGCTCATTTGAGTCAGAAAACACCATCGTTAATGCAAACTTTCAAAGATAACTTACTCAAGATTCTATTTCCCTTACTTCTTTTTTTTTCTATGCACAAATACTTTGAGATTCATCCGTAGAATAAAAGAATTTAATATAGGAAGCAGATTCTAATACAAAGAACCATTTAAATAGAATTAGATCAGTACTACTTATTTTTTATATATTTTTTCTTATTTCGCGTCGATGATTATGGGGAAAAAAAAGACTTCGTAAATCTGTGGATATTAAAGCACAAGAATTTATACATCGAATATAAAATATCCTTAATTACTGTAATATTGTTAAGTATCGGAAGGGTGATAAACAGGAAATAGGTATTAGAATAACGTCATAAAAAAATAGTAAATAATATATATGAATTGTACAGTTATTTTAAACTACCCATTGTACAAAACAAAAGGGAAGAAAAGGGATCCGAACTCCTTGCTTTAGAATCTTGAAAATATTAAACCCAAATATTAATATCTTCTTTTTGATAGATTATTTTAGTTCCATTTCAACACCCTTTGGAGAGGGTGGGATGGAGCACGATCAGACTGGTTCAACAATCCCGACCTTTGCCCCCAAATCGCCAAAGGTGAAAGATTGACGACAGCTTCGACAGAAAGCCGCTTGCTCCTCCAGTGCAATGCGCGGCTTTAATGAGAGAACGATCAAATTGCCCAGCTGGCAATTCGGGCACAGTCCTTGTTTGACCACCGGGAGGGGGGGAGGGGTGAGGCTGCGCTCTGGGGTGGCCCGACGCGGGCGGACCACGAGAGGGGGCTCTTGGGCTTCCCCCCGCCTCCGTTGGAGCGGAGAGCCCCTGACGGAGTGTAGAACCCGGGCCACAGAATGCTCGGGGCTGGGGGGGGACGGGTGATCCCTCCCGGCCCGCGGGGTCCGCTGGAGGCTGGGGTCCCGACTCCTGTGACCTGACGAAAGCGCCCGCGTCGAGGAAGGCCGGATCGGCTCCCGTTGAGGGGTCCGCACCCTGCGCAGCTGGGCTTGGAGCTCAGTGGCCTCCTCCTCTTTTTGTCGCAGCCTCGCCTTGCAGCTGCGCAAATGTTCCATCTCAACCCGTGCCTTTGCGAGCGATTGATGAAGTCGAATGATCTCAGTTTCTTTTTTCTCCATTGACGCCACACGCTGCATCAAGTTGGCATCTTGGGTAGTTTTTTTAGTTGAACCTGTTGTTTGGAATGGATCGGTAGATCCTACTGTTTGGTGGCTCCGCAGAGCTAGTTCCAATTCCCCTCGCAGCAGCTGCTCTCGTCGAATAGCCTTATCTAGGTGATATTGTAACACTCGACACTTGTCGCTCTCCGATTTATTCAAAAGGGATTGAAAATATTCGAACAGACGCATATTGTCCTGGGTAGGTTGTTGCGCTCCTTTAAATTTATCTTGATGTGCCGTTTGCTTTCGCGTGAATTTGACAAGATTGGCTAGCTGATCGAGCAGATGAGCTGCTTGGTACATCGCGTTGGAAAGTTTCGAGGCGTCCTGAACTGAACACAAATCCAATTCATGTTGCCATTGAGAAATAAAAGTCTGACTTGATCCAAGCGTTTTATTGAAAGCAACCTCCGCCACACCGTTCTTAAAGCACTGTTTCAGAGCGTTGATCATCGAACGGAAAGCGCCAACAAACTCGTTCGAATTCATCTCATTGGAATTCCCATCATGTAGCTGTTGCATGTTATCGAATAGATTCGAAACTATATCAGGTGACTCCACCTTGCCACGAAGCGGGTATTGTGTCGTTTGTTGAGTTTTCGGTGTTTTAACGCGTTCCAGCCGTTTTTCAAAAGTCTGGTTCATAACGAAATCATCTCGGAACGCTAGCCATTTCTGGAAATAACACCGGTTAAGATTTTCCCTGTTTATTGAAAAGAGATCCTCAACGCACCTTTGACCAGCAGGGTCACAGTGTTTTTCCGAAACAATGCAAACACTGGATGCTTCTGAATTATGTGTTTTTCTCCAGTTATTGATTGGGATCTCACTGAACACCGTGTTTTCAGAAGGCTTGTTTTCGACAGTTACATTGTCTGTCCTTTCAAATTTTCCAGGACTCTCTTTTGCATCTGAGTTTGCAAAGAATAACCTTTTTAGCGTAAACAGAAGCTTTTCATCATTTCGGTCAGAGTTCTCAGTAGGGAACTGCGTTGAAAGGGATATTTCTGTTTTTTTCTGAATGGGTGACATAAAAAAGTTGATGTTATCCTCCTCCGCTGGAGCAGCATTGACTATAGGGTCCACTTTTGGCTGCCGTGGAGCTAGTTCGCTGGGCTCAGACCCTGCCATACTCAAAAACCCCGAGGGCTGAGGGGTAATAAATGATTCGGAAGAGCTTTCTTCTTTCAACCGTTTAGTTAAGCTTCGGACATTATTCGGCCCGTATCTGAACAGTCCCTCCAATGGAATAGCAACTTTGTCGCTCTCGCTTGAATTTGGAACTATCTCATCACACGTTTCTTCCATATTCAGCACTGTCTTCCTAGACGAAACAGATGGGATCGAATCCGAAGGAATAGGGTCTGGTAAAGATCCTGCGATCTGCAGCGATTTGATGCAAGAAATATGGCCCGTACCTTCACTGTTCTCATTTTTTTCATTCAGTACCTGTACTATTGTCCAATAATTCAATGGAGGTGCTCCAGAAGATTGAAACTTCGACATGTCTTCCACACTGCAGAACTGCATGGTTTCAAGACCTGTGGACACTGATAACGGTTTGGCACCGTTTGTTTGCGCTGTTCCCGATGTGGCGTCCTGCGAGGTGCATTTGATAGTCTGTTCGGATTCATTTTTATTAACCAGATCACGAATAGGAGTTTTTTTTCCCTGATATTCTGCTTGAGGAATTTCGAGTGTCGAGGGACGTTCTAAATTGAAACCACCCTCTGTACAGGATTGTGAATCAGCCTCTGACATAAAAGAGGGTTTGAGTGACTGTCTTTGTATGTGATTGGGTGAATAAGCGGCTTTTGTTAATTTGTTTTTTTCAAGCTTCGAGCCCCCAATTGGTCTTAACACAAAAGCATATGTCCTCTTACCAGCTTTTTTGAGTGAGGCCAGGGTATCCTCGGGCCGAATTAGATGAAGAAGAGGTTGCGATTGGGCCCTTGACCCTTTTTCACCCATAACAGCTGAATAGAGCAAATAGCGCGACCACAAGGATTCCTTATTAACCTTTTTCTCGATTTCAGGAAAAATATTCTCGAACTCATCAGAATCTGTGACCTCTAAAAAAATTTTGTCCTCTATGGGATATCCCATCACACAGATTTTCATGGTTTGGATATTAGTCCAGTCAGTCTTATAGAAATATATAATAATTTCTATATATAAATTTATGATGCAAAGAATCCTCAAAGTACAGTATTTGTTTTCAAAAAAAAAGTTTATTAGCGATATACGCTTTATAATAATTAAATGAGGTAGTGCAACTGTATATGATAACCTTACTGTACGTGTATATACAAATACATTAAACCTAAGAGAGGTAAAATTCGGAAAAAAGGTAAATAACTTTAGTCTAGTTGGCACCCAAGGTATTTTTTTTCCCAAAAAATTTAACACTCCATGCCTCTTTTCTTAAGGTTTTGACGTCATGAGCTTATGTACCAATAATTTACACAACAGCATTCCTTAAAAAAGGACTGTACAGGATATTGTTTCTTCTTTTGAGTTATGAATGTAAAAAAAAAATCAGACATTCATAAACTTAGTATATCTGATCATGTATTCTTTTAGAGGCCGCAAAGATACGGTTGATATAAAGTCCTTCGTCTAGGCCAAAAATTTCTTTTCTGTTCAATAGGACAATGGCTTCCTTAGCATAGCGACATGAAATGGCTGAACAAACTTCCGAACGCGAACAGAAAGGGGTATTAACATTAGCGTCAAAAGTGTAAGCTGTTAACAACCCCTGATTTGGCTGAAATATTTCAGTCTCTAAAGATGATCTGGCAGTCTGTTTCGTTGATGTATAGCTTGGACAGCCGTAGATATCCCCAAAGTTGGTTTGTAAAGACAAGATCGCAGAGGTGTCGCTTATCTTCCGCATACAACCCCACAATGCAAAACTATCAGTGTTACAAAGGCATTCAATACGATTAAACTCCACTGCTTCGCTGCAACACAATTCCGTAAAGGAAAGCATTTGCTCACAAACTACTTCCATGATGACGTACGGTAGGACCTCTAGATGGAAAGATTTAGTAAGCGTTGTCATGCTTTTTTTCCCTCCTCAATGCCAAACTTTTTGTATTACTATTTGAAATAATTGAAGTAAGTTGAATGTAAAAACAAGAAATTATTGGAGTACGTCACCTGTTGATACAGGTAAAAGCATTGTTTTAAGTTGAGTAATGATTAGTCGTTCCTACGAAGAGCTTTAGCAACAGTAGCAGCAATGGCGTAAAGTTTTTTTTGTGTGTGCTTGCAATCATGCAAAGAGTAGTAGTGTCATGGCTTATCTAATTTGGTATTAATCTTTTTTAGGTTTGTAAAAACCTTGTTCTTACCAATGATGTTGATTTTGTTTGATACTATGAACTTACTACCTTTACAAGGAGAAAAAAGGTAAGTTAATATCCATCGTGAGTAAAATGCCTAGATGATATTATAATGCAGAAATGTATTGCACAGGAACACAGATTAACTGCCATGAATTCTGATGTTAAAAAAAGTGCACAAACAAACTTTTATGCATCACACGGCCACATAAAGTTAACTTTTCAAACAATGATATAACATTTTAAAAGACACATCAGATGCTAATATGATCGCTGTTGTATAATTTGTCAGTTTTTCTTCTTGTTTCTGTAAAGCGCTGACCTTGTCTATAAAGACTACATGATTAAAGACAAAGATAATCAACTTGTCGCTTTTTTAGCGCAAAAGATGATTGAAATTAGCAATCATATAGAGGATTTACTTGTATCAATGTTTAGGAAATAACCTATTGAAAGATATATAATAGAAGCACACATTCACTTTCTACATAGCTATTTCTTCAGTAGTTGATTTAAGATAAAAAATATTATTACTATATTCATATACAATATTTAATAAAATGGTACCATGAGACACAAGATTGATTGTTCGTATTACTTGTTTTTCAGATATACGCAACATCTTAAACTCGAAGTGCTTACAAATTCGCGACAACCATCAGCAACTCATTTTGAGACGTAGCAGTACTTCATCTCATAGAAGCATAAAGCAATAATAATAATAATAACGCTAATATCACTTAGTGTATCCTTACAAATTCCATTCTGAGAATGAAGTGTGAAAACAGCCGCTACATCCCATTTTAATGGTCCTCTCAAATCTGGAGTCCCCTAAAGACAGCGGGCCAAGGTGGCGCTCCTGTTTATAGTTCTTGATTTTCTCCCCTCAGTTAGCTTTCTCCATGTGAAATGGGCATTTCACACAGGCGATACATCGAATAAATATCCTCTTCGAGTTCCTTTATCGTGACCGCGTCTTTACTATCGATGATTCTTTTCACTGCAAAGCAGCATCATTTTCAACATTCCGAAGCGAAAGGTCCTAGATTGGTGGGAGGGGCTGCAATTTAGAGGAACCTAAAGTTTGCTGCAGCTTTGAAGTGGTGAGCGCAGGAAGGGGCTGCATTTGACCCCCCTGAGAGGGTGATGGATTCGGTCGGCTGATTGCTGCCGTTGGTGTCGGTGCCTTTGATTCCGGAGCAGATACAAGTGCTTCGGTATGTGCCACCTGTTGATTTGATTTCGGGGTGCGACACGTGGGCTTTCCATCAGCATCGGATTTTAGGTGAGACGAGTCAGCAAGTTCATGCTCGGTATGAGTCGGATGGGTGGTCGCTGCCTCAGACTCTTTGCTACCTACCGCTTCCACATTTTTAGGCGGGGGATGCCGCACCTTTTTTTGACTATCGCTAGCTGAACGCTTTGCGCGATCGCGTTCAGCTTGAGCTGATAGAGCCAAAGCTTCTTTCATTTTAGCTTCTTCCAATTTTATTTCCTTCTCTTTGGGATCTTCCAACAGGGATGCGGATATGGCGCGCCTGAGCGCTTCCTCATCATCACACTTGCCGTTGGTTTCTAGGATACGGGCAATATCCTCAGCTGTAGGTTGTGCAGATTTATCAATAATGGACAGTAAATTTTCTGAATCTGAAACGGATAAATTTACTCCTTTAGCCTGTAGGGCTCTGACAGCTATAATGTCTTGTTCGATATTTCGTTTAATCATCATGTAAAAAAAGCTCTCAAAGTCATCCATAACATAAATGTATTTCATAAAATCTTCAATGGATTTATGCTCTAACTCTTGATCACTTTCCATAGAACTTCTTACAGAAGCCATGACGTCCTCAAGTGAGATACCCAACTCGTCCACGAATCCTGAAAGAAGATCGTCAATGAGCGATTGAAATTTTCTATGAATATCAGTATACTCAAACTTCATCTCGCTTTCATTTGTAAATATATTACAGTTATAGTCGATAAAATGATTGACTGGTGTAAGCCATACAGGCGACTTAATGAATTGGACAAGGGTTTCAGTAATCCAATTGTTGTTCTCCATGTTTGATGGCCACGATACTACTTCTTTAAGGTGCAGAATGGAAAAAATATTTATTTCCAAGTGAAATCAGTAATTGACGATAAAGGCAATTTTATGTACTAATTCTATTTGTTTAGATAGATATCTATTTTATTTTTTTCATGCGTAAGAAATATAGCTGATGCAAGTGTACATAAACAAAAAGGCTAGGCAATTCTAATTTACAATCCAAGGATAAACACTATGCAAATCCCCAACATGTGAGAAAATAGGCATTTACTATAACTATGACATATATATATATATATATGTATGTATATGAATTCATATATTAATCAAGCACACCTCCAAGATTGCAAGTCGTTTTACTGATCTACCAGCTCTAATTACCCTTTATCACTGGCGAGGTGTAGAACCACATCCGTTATATTGCTGTTGGATTTATCTTACTCCCTTCTTACACAAACTTATAGGAAAACTCATTGAGGTTATCCATACTCACCTAGGAAGCCACCAGTCCAACAGTTTCTCCAGATATTTGAAATGTTTAAGAACAACAAAATCATCCATTTCGTCCTGCCTTAATATTTCTGTAATACTTCCCTGAACAGCGTGGAAAAATTCACGTTCCAGGACCACTGGCCAAGATTCGGTCCAAGACATTTCTCGTTCTATTTATGATCATAGGTGCACGAAAGATATTTTGTCATTTGAAGGGGCGCTGTCATCAAGATTCTCCTGCTTCAAGACTTCATGGAAGGATTTGTTTTCGCAAGACAGCAGTGCAGCGTCGACATCGATTTCGGTCGTTTGATGACAAGCAGAATTTTCTCTCGGACTCGTGTCCAATAAGCTGTGTGCAGTCAAGGCGGGACTCATGTGCACTTCTGAAGCTGCAACGGTAAGCATATCGGAAAGACTAAAGCCGCAGTTTGTGCATTTCTCCTTTGCATTCGCGTCCGTCTTCCCGAAGCAGTTCGGACAGGTTACAATTACGTGAAAGTCATCCGGCATCAAACGCGCTCCTCCACATCCCATGCATTGGGGGTTTGCCGTACGATTGAAGATCCCGCAGGGCGGACAGCGCCAGCGGCTTGGAAAGGAAAGACCGCCCGGAACGCGGTCGGCATGGCATTTAGGGCATTGTTGCCTGACTGGAAGATCACCGCCAGAGGCGATCGCGGAGGCGCAGAGCTCACAAACCCACGTCTCCTCCGCCTCGTTGAAGTGGTGGGGCTCGTGGCAAGCGGGGCAGCGCAGCAACGCTCGATCCTCGTGGGTGGCGTCGCAGCGGGGGCATCGCCAGGGGTGCTGTAAGCGGGCGCGACATCGAAAGCAGGCCAAGCGCACCGATAGGTTGGAGGCCTGACAAACCGGACAGACGATCGGGGCAGGGACCTCCGGCTTCGTTGCTAGGCAAGTCGGGCAGACGACCTGAGACTGCGGTACCGCGAGATGACACGAGGCACAGCGCCACAAGAACGCGTGCTCGGTTCCGCAGACTTGGCATAGAAGGTTGTCTTTCTCGTTTTCGAATTCGCATACTACACAGGTCCACTGTTCCTCCGCCAAAGCAGGTGACATGCCACAGCCGATGCAGACCTCGCGTTCGCTACGATTCACACTCGAACACTTCTGACAGAGCCAGTAGCCCTTGCGGATCTCACGATTTTTTCCACAACACCTCGATACTTTGGCGTCCTTAAATTGTCTGCAATATGGGCATTGCCACGAGCCCATCGGGGGTAGTTTGAGCGGTTCACACGTTGATTGACCCCCTTTGTCGCATTCTTCAGCCTCGTTGCCGCGAATACTCTTCACACCATTGGACAAAAGCGAGGCCTCCTTCGCTAGATGTCGAGGCCGCAAGCAAACATCGCAAAAGGTCGCGTTACGTCGCTGAATAATATTACACTGTATGCACCACCACGAGCCGTTCGTGTCAGATGTTAACGAAGACCGATGAGGGGTAGCAGCAGACGCCATGGGAAGTTCTGCGGTGCCCCTTTCGTCCAAATAGATTTTAGGTGTTCCTCTTGGCCTTTCTGAAGCACGTTGTTCCGGCGGCGCGGGGACTAAATCCATGCTTTGAGGAGGAAAGCGCCCTGGAATCAAGGCCGCCTGGTGAACGGGTTTCGCGCTTCCCACCGTCTCGATCATCACCGGAAGCGGTGACATACAAGCCTCACAAAGTTCCCACCGACAGTCGTTTCGGACTCCGCAACCTGGACACAATACTGTGGAATTGGACACTTTCATGGGGCGGCACTTCTTGCACATGTAGCAAACAGTGGAAAAGATACTATTCAGTGTGTGCTCGCACCCGCCGCACTTCCATACTACAGGGCGATCTGCTAAACACGTAGCGCATTGCATTGAGGCCTTGGAGTTAACGTGATCACAGTATGGGCAATACCACTCTCGAACACCAGCAAAAGATTTCGAGCACTGAGAACAGAAGAACTTGGCACGGTGCTTTTGCATCGTAGATCTTGACAGCATTTCGAAAGGAGAAGGTGAAATATGTGTGAGCTTTCTGTCGATCGCATCGGCGGTATTGTTTAGATGACAACACCCCTCACAAATCCAATTTGTTGGGAAAGAAACAACGTGCCGTGTAGGAGGATGACGCTCACGATGCGATTTTACCTGAGATACCCCACATTGTCGGCACGTCTTGCGTCCCATAAAGTTGAACCTTTGGCAATGCATGCACATCCACTCTAGGTTTGCTTCTCGGTTGCTAATGTTCCTTAGCTCTTCGACAGTGTAAGCATGGGAGCTCAGACGTACACGCGCAAATATTTCATAGGGTTTATTCACAGTTCGTGAGTCGGTTTCCTCAGTTTTCATTACATCCAATGACCCAAGGCATCCGTTAGTGGCTGATTCTTGGATTTTCTTTCCATTTCCATCTTCACTTAGGGTAAGATTCGCGGAGATTAAATTTTGACATATACCCCCTAACTGGGGCTCAGGACTCAAATGCATTCTAGCTGTTTTAGAGGGGTTAAAAGCATCTTGAACAAGACTAGACACCAGTTCTTCCTCTTCATCATCCGTGAGCTGCTTTGTAAACTGGGTGTGAACATATCGACAAGATCCCTGGGGCAATCTACAGAATTTAGTCTCTTCAACCCACTTGAGGGGAGAAAGGGATCCAAACGATAACTTCAGAAGGCGTCCATGAGATAATTGTTTCATGGCGCAAAATCAGACTGTTTCCGGCGCACTAATACTTGGCACACTTGCGTGAGATCTTTTGAATCGCTAGGTAATCTTGTTAATCTACGGTTCCCTATTATCGCTTTTGATTTTGAAATTCCATTACCTAAATATTCAAATGTACCTGAAATTCCATGAGAGTTTATTATAATTTTCATTCTACAGAGTAGTTTATGACTCTGGATACACTTACAGACACAAATCAAAAGATGATAATATTCTTTGTTTTTATCATGCTACTACTCCAGCAAATACCCGTTAATACGAAAAGGATAAACGTATATCGAAATCCACCATTCTTTATTATTCTTCATAATTTAACCGGCTTTCGGACAGACGCACGACGCGGTGCAACCGCCATTGATTTTGGTGAACCGCACTTGAAACATTCGACCTTCGACCGGAAGTTCTTTGCGAAACACTTAGCACAAACCCAATCGTCTGATTTTTTCCAGGAATTCATCGCACCCTCTGTCGGTCGGGCATCGACTTCATCCTTCAAAAAACCTTCCTGTTCGAAATGTGGTGTGTGCGACTCTGCCGCCCATGTGATCACAGACGGTGCCTGGCCGCCGCATTTCCAACAAGTGGTACGCGTCCTGAAATTGGCCGCACGACACCCTGGGCAAGACCAGTTCTGATGGTTTGTGTTGGCATTCAACGTGGCCGTGCTAGGCGCGTACGGATTCATCTGTGAAGTATTGTCCTCAAAGATATCACGCGGCGTCTTGCATCCAAAGCATTCATTCCGTCGCGAAAAATTCATGCAACCACACTTTTCACAGTACCAATCGCTCCGCATAGGAGGATTTGATTCCCGTTTATTATGACGACCACTGCCAAAAGTTCCTTGAATATCACTTGGGTTTCGTGGTTGCTGTGGAGTTTTTTCGACCCCGCACTGCCGACAAGCTTTCTCGTAGACACTTGTAAGTGTCTGGCACTGCTCACAGGTCCAGTGTATCGGGATGTATCCAAAACAGTTGAAGCAACGTGCCCGTGAAAGATGATTCAAGGCTGCACACTGCTGACATTCCCACTCGGACGGAGTTATGTGTTGGCCACATTTCATGCAGTTTTCCTCATCACCAGGATTTGTGTGACCACAAGTCCGCACACGGCACATCCAGTCAAACCCAGGAGGTCCTGGTGGGATGCCGCCCTTTAAGGCGTTGTCGAGTGGTTTGGATCGGCGAAAGAGATAGGAACGGGCCGTCTCTGGCAGTTTCACCGTAAAGGGTTTGATTTCTTCCAGAGGCAATTTTTTCACGTTTAGAATACTATTCGAATAGGCAGCGGTCTTCAGCTCAGTAGGTAACATCTCATGCCCACTCAGTACGTCACCGAACTGTTCATCGGCATCCTCTGCGCTTATACTGTCGAAGGCCTCTTGGCGTTGCTGGTTTTCTTGGGCACGCATTTGTAAAAGTTCTTCAGACTTTTGCCCAAATGATGAGAGCGGAGCCATGTCATAACTGCAATACCCGCACCTGCTATTGTCTTCTATCTCGTCAACTCGATTGTTTTCACCACAAGCTGCACACATCCAAAAATCTTTACTCGCTTCAAACGATTCCCCGCAGGATTTGCACTTCTTCACTCCACGGTGATTCTTCATCTGACATTTAACGCATTTCCAACCGAGGAGATTTGGCTTTGCAGTTGCACATTCTTCGCAAGAAGTTCGGAATTCACCATTTACTTTACGACAATTATCCTTGTTACACATCCACGGACGGATAAAATTCATTGCCCAGGACTGCCGTAAAACGACTGTGCAACTACCATAATAACGGTAGACGCAAGCCAATTGCGATATCTGACAGAAAGTACTGTGGAAAGGACTCAAAACTCTGCGAAATATAAGTGTGTTGTGATTTTGACCATTAGAACGATAAACGCATCTCATATCTAAAATCCCTCTTCCAATTATTGAGGATCGAGATGCCATTTCAGAAATCAAGTTGCTCTTTTTGACTCCAAAAGAGAACTGTAATCTCTGAGTTGTTTTGGTATTTTTAAAGGAAACCAGCCTATTTTTCCTCTAGGTATTAGTAAAGGAAAAAAAATGAGGTAAAAGTGTACATAAAGAAATGTGTAGTTCAAATATAGTTTGACTCATAGTAAGTACCTTTCGGTTCTGTTTCCCTTACGAACTCAACAGATCCAATTTTTCCACTTCCTATCTAGGTTTGTCCATTTAATATCATTTTCCTTTATTATTTGAAATACCTTATTCGTTTCATTCTCCTCTACCAAAAGGCATTTTCCCATTTTTTTCCGATTTCATCTTCATTGTTCTTCATCATGATGCTAAGGGGAAAAAATGATAAAAGGAAAATGCGGGATAAACTTTAACCAAGGATGGCAAAGAAGAAGAACCTTTAATAAAAAGTTCATTAAAACATCACCACTTAAAAAGTCTCAAAAGTTTAGATTTTATTCCAAGCAACAATATCAATCGACTGGACCTCATTCTCAAAGGACGTGATCATCTCCTCCAGGTCATCACTAGATACCTTGTCGTCCTCAATCACAATGAGCTGCTGCAATTTCTTAACACCAAAAGCAACAGGCACAAGCTTGTGATCACCCCAGACAAGGCCATCCCGTTGAATGGCATTTAGCTTCTGTGCAAGCGCTTCGAGGTCGACTGTGTCATCCCAACCTTTGATGTCGTACAAAATTGAGGACTTTGCAATCACAGCGGGCTTGGCCTTCTTCTTCTCCGCATCCTTAGCTTTCTTTGCCGCCAGTGCTGCCTTATCCTCTTCAGTTTCTTCACCAAAAAAGTCAATATCGTCGTCGTCAGCCTTTGTTTCCTTCTTCATATCCTTCGGGCTCTCAGATTCCCCACCTTTGAGCAACGCATCACGTTCACTTTGATAGTAAGATGCCATCCGGGCTGCCCACCGGGCCACATTTACGTTAGATCCGAACATCTCTTCGAAAACTTTGGCATCCTCTTTGCTGGGTAAGAACCCGGAGACGTATGGCTTGTCAGAAAGACGGCCGTTAAACTCCTTCAGCGTGGTCATATTGTTAAATTTTAAAGAATTATGGTGTAAGTGTATTACAAGTGGATATTTGCGGTTTTGATAACGTAACTAATTCAAATAGATAGATTAAGAGATGTAGTAAATTAGAGAGACATCATAAAATCAAGAAGAAATAAATAATACTAATAATGAACTTTTTTTTACCATCATTTGTGTTTAAAAAGAAACTCTTCCTTCCCACCAAATCAAACAAACGCAAATAACATTTGCTGAATATCAATAAGAAAGAATCGATAGAGCACATTTAGCAGAGATATTGATAAAACGCAGGTATCCTTCACAGCAATAGTAAAGGTATATATCAATGAGAAAAGAATAACTCGACTGAACGTTATTTATTTTCAAGCCTTAAGAAACATTTGAAAATTTCACACCTGTGTTCAAGTAAAGGCATGGCGAATTTATTTTGTAAGTCATTCATACTTACATTAACCTTAATTTCATCCAAAGTGCAGAGTTTCACAAACTCATCCACAGTGGCGTACTTTAGCAGGCTTGATACACCCATGAACGTTTTGATATTTTGCAGCTTTTCGATTTGAATTATGTCCTCTTTATTCTTCATGTTTGTGCAAATATTTTTATTGTCAAAATCTGACAGCTCTGGCTTTGAGTTCATGCCATTCAGTAAGCGATTAAGCTCATAAGCCAAATGCGCATCCAATGCCACATCTATCCAATGATAAAATTCCTCTGGTGTGGCATAGCGGAGAAACTCATGATATGAAGCATGTAAGGCATAGTTGTGTGGCCCCACCTCTTCAATAATCGCGCGGGACAGTTCATATGGTGAATGTTTTTTATCAAGCCTATTCGTGGCCTTTTCAACTATTTGATTATAGAAGACAACGGAAATAAATTCATGAGTTCGGATGGAGTCTCGTAAAAACAAACTACGGTCTTTACGTTCCGACAGAAGTGACCGGCAAATCTCCAAGCTATCCGAGCGGATGGGTATTTCAGTCAACAAGTGGTCTGCAACATGAAAACTTTGCATTGGTAGTAGGTTCTGCCGACGTGCACTACCAGTTGTTGAGACGGGAAGAACTTTCGGAGTCAACCCAAATCTTTCAGGAGCGCGTTGGCGAGCATGAAGGTCAGCTGCACTACCGATTCCATGAAAAAGCTTAGTTATTGGACGGCTACCCAGACTTACCATACCTGACGTCACTTCTTTTAATAAACCAGTCATACTGTAAAGACGCACACTAGATGAAAGTCCGTGTGGAACCCGTTCATTTCGCCTGAGAATACTCTGTGAGGCTCCCGACGAATCACAAACCCCTGTAGGAAGTACCGCGGGATCCGTTGATCCTCCGAAGTCGTGTTGTTTTCTCATCCCGTGTTTGTCGAGGGAAAGTGCAGCAAAATTTTGGCCACCAGTCCGCGATAAGCCAATCGAATCCAGAGTCGAAGAGGGCGTTTCTTGTAAAAACTCTTCCCTTTCAGAGGAAAAATCATGGTGAGGACCTTCCTTTAGTAGGGATCGCACGCCCCGACCCCAGGCATTCATAACCGCAATTGGATTACTCAATACCTCCAAGGCTCCAATCACCTTATAGAATTGAAGGATAAACTGTAGGCGGTATGATGGCCACAATATAGGAAATAGCACAAACCATGGAGAGCAGCTGAGATGACTGATATTTTGGAAACAGAATCCACCAATAGTAAACAGAGCTTTCTCGATAGAGGGAACGGGAAAATCTATGAGGCCTTCGTATGGACTAAAACTGCTTCTGGTTCTCCGTTTCAGAGAAACACGTAGTGTTGTGATGGAGACTAATATCCTAGCAATATAAAATTCGTACACCACCATTGCATGCTTAGCAAGGGTTTTATCCTTAATAATATTATCTTTCCACAATACGCATTGGTATGGAGTGGGATTTTTTGATTGATATGTTGAAGGTAAAAGATGAACGGATTGATTGTCCGGCGAAAGCGATGACTGACTCAGCCTATACACTTTCATTACACTCTCTACAGCTTGCCGAACCACATAAAGAAAGTCGTCCTGCAAACAAACTTGAACCATAGGACAAGTAAGATGCAGTTCTTCGATGAATATAGTAGTCGGCTCGGTTCGGATTTCGCTGCTTTGATGCCCTCCTGAAAGTTTACCTAATACTTGTGTTTCAGATCCAACAGCATTCCTTGTACGAGTTGGATTTGTTGAGATACTACACATAGATGGTTTCTCGAGGCCCAATGGATTACCTGTTCGTGAAAAAAGCCGCCCGGCTCGCAAAAGATGCAGTTTCAATGAAAAACATGAGGACTGGTTTTCTAAAGGTCCTTTTGTTTGTAGCACCCCTCCCTTTTTGACACCTAGATGTAACACGGTTGGAAATGTAGGCGACAGCGACGTACAGTCCATGACACTCAACTCGTTAATATGCAACCCTGCAAGGGCATGCCGCTCATTCCAGGAGACCTCAATCAAGAGGGATGTGATGCATACCTGTGTAAAATTGAGTTCGACAACTTTCAGAATATTGAGTTTTTCTGCATCAGTGAATTCGGTTGTAACCGAATAGTTCGAATCAGCGTCCCACTGCTTAAGCAATAAATCAAATGCTGTGTTAGAAGGATGAGCAGATTTCTCAGGGACGCATGTGGACGCCAAAAAAATGGAGGCATGATGAACGAGCATATTTACATGTGCTACGAAGTGGGGTTGGAATAGTAATTGGGTTTCAAACATGCGATTCTCTGTTATAGTTACAAAAAAGCAGCGGCTTTGATAATCTTGAGTAACAAACACAAAAGCGATACTTCCCACTTTAATCGCTCCTTTTGTGGCTACCGCCTTTCCCAAATTAACTGTGCACTCGAATTCCCGGCCCTTAGCATGTTGTGTGTTAATGATAAGATGCAGAACGGGTGAGGATAGGGAAGCTACTTCCAAGCAGGTGGCAACGTCTGTGTACGGCCGAATAATATACCCCAATGCTGACTGCGACGAAGAAGAAGGGGTGAACACGTCGTAGTAATCTGCTGAAGCTTTAGAACATGTCTTTTGATTGAACTGAATCGTGTAGGAAGTGCGGTTCTCAATCACCAAGGGTGGTTTGTTTCCCAACGAGACATCAAAAGTGCACTGCTGCCCTTGTATACGTGGTGTCAATGTGAAACACGTGAAGACTTCATCCTCAGGTTCTTCTTTATAGTACTTTGGGGTACAGGTATTAGTAAAGAGATAAACATTGTGATGCCTAAAAAGCCTTTCTGCGTAAGACTGCACTTTGGCACTTGAATCGCTAGTAGCTTTCTTGGTTTTGATATCGGACCCATAACTATCAGGTACACAAAGACGATGCTTCACTGTGATTGGAAGCATACTTTCGGCAAGACTTGCTAGTTTTAAGGAATCGGACCACTCAAATAAGAAACTTGTATCAACACCTTGCCTTTCTTCCCTGTCGGATACCGAAAGCGTCTCGAACCGAAAGTGTACCTCAGGGTTCCCATAGCTGCCTAACCCAAAGCGGCATAATTCCAGTCCTTGCAGCGGTTGCACCAACACATCCTCATTGCAATGTAAGCCCACAAAACGAAGGCGTAGTCCTAGTGATGCGTGGGTGTTGTGCAGAGTCCAAGCCGACCTTAAGATGATCAGGGGGAGCAACAATGGGACTTTTTCAGGGGATTCGAGCATCATAACTTCTACTTTTGCGTCTTCATTGGATGCCATAAAGATCCACTCACAACCATTATCCTCAGAACTGAGAAATACAGGCACAGAAATAGAAGGACACACAAAGGGTTGTGATGGCTTAGCACTGGGGCTGCCAACTGCGATGCGTGCGCGAAGGGGCTTGAAGAACTCTCGCTTTGTCGGTGGGTTGCCGTCTGCGTCACAATGGAAAAGAAGAGGACATTGCTGACCTGGCAACAACATACCCCCGAGCGCCTGATTCTGTGATTTTCCACCAAACATCAAGGAATTCAAAGAATCATCAAATGGACGAATAGGAACCGGGAGATGGTTGACAAGCAACGCAAGCTCTTTGACGACAAGTAATGTCTCTGAAAGTTTTTGCACAGTCAATGCACCACAGCTTATTTTCAGGCACTCAGCAGATTGCATTCTTGAGAAACACTCTACATTAAAAGATAAGTTGAAGTAGTCAATGGAGCGCATAATGCACTGTGGTTCATCTCCACAAGTGTAAAGCTCAAGCTTCGCAAATGGTGAATGCACCAACATCTCTGGAGAATTCGGATACCATTCAAATCGCTCACCAGGCGTCAGTAGATTTGATCGCGCCACACTTCTGAAGAAATCTGTGGAACTCAGAGATGTTGCGGCATCCTCACCACCTAGAGATAACACAAACAATTCTACACCCAGAAGATTTCCTGTGCAATTAAGCATCGAAACTACTGGCTCAACTATGACTTCTACCTCGCTCTTAGGGAGAAGCCTTAAGGTGCGACTAATGGTTTCGCGTGCAAGTTTCCTTTTGAATACCAGATTGACTATTAATTGAAAGGAACCGTTGGATTGTTGAGGCTTTGTGTCCTGCCCTTCTTGTGATAGATTCCTGTTTAGTGTGACAGGAAGAATCAATGTGTCGGAATCTATAAGAGCCACACGATCCCAATATAAGCGGTTTTGCGTTCGTTGAAACCGTTTATCAGTGTCAGCTTGTGGAGTTCTTTCACATGTATTGTCCGCCTTTACACCTGCCTTCCATAGGCTTAACAACAGTAAAAATGCGCCTATAATAGACTTAAATGGCAAAAAAGTGCTGTTACTCAAACTGGGCAACATGTATTCATCCACCTGTATCATGAAACCATACGTCAGTACCTCTAGTTCGACAGGACTAGATTGCATAGGTAGTAACAGCAGCGGTTTGGCTTGTCCATTACAAGGTAAAGTAACGGCTCTGGAGGTCATATTGTTTCGAATACTCACTGAGGTTGTTATACGAACCAACCGTGTAGCCTCATCGAGGCGAAACACAGCGTCCATAGTACCAATGGATAATTCATGAATTGGAAAGCGGTGAGTGGAGCCGTGTTCAAGGGTAGAAATATCAACTATCGTATCCTCAAACCCCAAAGCAAACCCCAGCTGGTCATGTCTCTTTTCATCGGCTACCAGAACACGGAAGTTCGTTTGATTATAGTCAAGTAAGCTTATTTTTACACAAGAACCTACAGGAATATTTTGAGTCTGTATGGATGCTGTTTGAGATGGGAACGCAAGCCCAGAAGTCTCTGCTGGCATCAGGATAAGTGGCACACCAAGTTCATTCCTAAAGAAAAATGCGTTTGGCTCCATGCACTGGTCTTGCAGTGTCTTCTGCACTTCCACAAGCCTCAGTAAGGTTATCACGGGAATTGTCAAAAAGATTTCTGGTAAAGACAAACATCCTGAAAGGGAGACCCCATTGTTATCATAGCGTACGTAATCCACCGTAATTTCCGGTGACAAACGAAGCAAGAGACGAGGAGGCAACCCCATCGCAGGATAATCTATCAGAGTTAAGACGCCAGTACAACGACAGGAAACTGAAGACATGTCACGACTCCCGGAAGCTTGACAAGCCAAGGCACACAGATTGCACATCAGCAATGGCTTGGAAAAATTATTTAACAACACAAGCTCAACGGATGGAATTGTCAAACCTACTTGAATAGAAGTTTCATGGTTCACTTCCCTTCCGCTGGCATCTTTTCCTCTCCTATTAACCGGTGAGGCACCCGACACACCGACCCAACTGTCAGTCTCCAAGCCCATCGCAGCCTTGATGTGTATGTGTCCTTCTGAAAGAAGGCTTAAAATAGTAGTAATGAGTCTGAGATTGTCCATGGTGGCTAAGATTTTAACAGGAGACAAAATTCCATGGATCGCGGTGAAACCGAGTTTAGCGTCACTCTCCAAAGATCGGTGGTGCTGCACGCGGAGTGTAAAGTGTATGGGATCGGTGTCTATGCGTCTACCCTCACATGCCATTGAGAAACTATGCAGAGTGACTTCGCCACATTCATTCACAACGGCCGCTTCGCCATTAGCCTCATCACGGTGCATTTTCTTTTCAACGAAATATTGAGCAGAAATTTTTGCATCAACGGAGATGTTCTGATGAAGAGAGCACATCTGAAGCCTCAGATTTAGAAGCACATTCAAGTCAAACCGCGTGCCGACCTCATCGTTAAGGGATGTTACCGAAGGTAAGGGTAGAGTCTTTTTTTGAGAGATGTCTGGGCTAAAAATCAGAACAAGTTCCTCAGGAACAATAAAGAGGGAGCGTGGACCCAACGTAGCATAGTTTTGCACTACATTCGCGCCAGCTTTGAAATCGACAATATCGTACAGAATCAATAGGGTGTCCTCCACAACAACGGTGATGCCCTCGTCGATGATAATAGGGACATCTCTCTCGCCCTGTGATAAGTCACTAGGAAAAAGCAACAGACGGGCTTGGTTGGCACTTGTTACTCGGATGATATTTTGCGGCGAGCGACCGAGAAAGGAGTCCTTCACGAAATGAAGTTTTTTACCCTGACGCCCACCAATACACACATCTTGACGGAGGTACATATCAGTGTAAATAGAAATGACACTATCCTCACTACCATCAATGTTATGGGTGGCGTGGCTACTGCTGTCCTTGCAAGCTGAAAATGCTTTTTGGGTGCTGTGTCTGTGGGCTTCCCACTCACTTGATGCATCACGTATGCGGGACATACCCATTGCAAGATGGGCCAGCACTTCGTTGTTAAGGAAAGAAAGTAAATTTGTGGATACCGCAAGTTTGAAGTCCTGTGCATAACACAGAACGGAAGACGTTTGAATCTGGTTAATGGATGAAGGGGCTGCTTGTTTACAAATATATAAGGCAGCCATAGAATCTGCATATGAAAATGACTCTTGATGAGTTGTCTGAGCCATGATGAAGTTATCTTGTAGGTCGAGGTGAACCGTGCTGGAAATCGCCCCAATCTGAAAACGCAAAGTATCGCCATGATCAAAGTTCGTTGAATGCACCCACTCAATATTTTGGAAACAGACGCTCAAAAGTGTATGTGAATTCGCTATCAACGGGACCTTTAGCGTGAAATATGCCACTCCATTCTTAGTGTTAACACTCTTCACGTGGACATTAATTGCTTGGATACGGAATGTATACTGTTCAGTTCTGAATACAATCGGGTGACTTGTATGTCTTTCACTTGGTGTGCTGATAGAATGAATAGCGCTATCATTGACACCACTAAATGTGTAAGCCTTATGTTGTTCAGAATTTGGTACTTCAGATCTATTCTTTGAGTTGAACAGGGTTGCACGACACGCCTGTGATGTTTCAGAGGCTTGTGCACTCGAAAGAGATAAAACTAAAGGCGACACAAACTGCGCTATCGCTCCCATGCAGAGTTGGAGCGTGCTCCCGACTGGTAAAACGCATTCCATATCAAAGACACATAGGTCCAGAACTCGGGATAGTCTAACCTTGTCATCCTCTATAAGTAGTGATGCTTTTATAGGGGTAACTAACACTAGCGATTCTGTCGCAAGGATCCTTGGTGCGGTAAATTCTGAGGAAAAATGCGATTGAGCTGGGTGAAATACCCAGGATAATACCCCATCTTCGACTTCTAAATTAAACCGTCGCCTGAGCGTGTTATTCACGTATGTGAATGTTATATTTGGAAAATAAGTTTCAACATAATTTTCAGATGGGAGTGGGCTATTCAAACAATGAAAGCATACACAGAAAGAAACAAAGTTTAAGTAAAGATCGGGCCCGAACTGGTTCTGAGAGGACCTATGGGATGCACTTAACTTTTTCAAAACGTAAGTTGTAAGGAATACAATATGCTCCATTAGCTCTATCAAGAAAGGTACGCTGTAGTTATTTAGATCCAGATGGTTATTCATAATATTAATGCGGTCTGGCCAAACTTGAATTTCAGTCGATTTTACGTGCAGAAACTCAAACTTAGATTCTCCATCTTGTAAGAGCAACATTTCCCCAACTAAAATGTCACATGAATTCTCAAGCTGAGCTTGGCTTTCTATATTGTTATTCGCTGATCTCGTCAAACGGGAATAGATCAACTGTAGTGTCGATGCATCCGTATAAATAGAGCGCAACAGAAGCATAGCTACGTTTTCAATGCATAGACCAAAGCTGTCAACCTTGATCGACAATGACATCCGGGCTCTTTGTGGATAGCACGGAGGGTCGACAAGGCTTGATGGTGAGGACTGTGGATTTGTATAATTAAGGATACCCGTACTGATCGTATTGCCAACGCCATCAGACCCAGTCAAGAGGCACCAAACTAATTGACTCATGCAAAGAGCAAATTCGTATGTCACAGGGGACAAATTGAGCCACACACACGAGATGCTCAGTTCAGAGGAGATACACTGAGTATAGCAGTCAATGGACGACGTGAATTCGATCGTCCGTGGACTTGAGGATCCATGCATCGGGGTGAGCCCTTGTTTTGCCGTGGGAAAAGTTTCAAGATTTTTTTTATGAAATAGAATCCGTGTGCCGTTTCCATCCATTACAACAAAGTGTCCCATTAATGAGAGTTGCATGCAAACGGTTTCACTGTAAGGATTCTGATCAAAACACAGAATAAGAGGATCAACTATATGAAGCCTTGCAAGACTTTTCAGAGAGACCACATCAGCCAGCATTTTGGCTCCCGAAAGTAGGGAGATGCAGCCGGAAAGTGTGCCAACACTCGTGATGTCGAGCATCAAATCAACAATTTCGACCTTCAGTCGAAAAGGCATACATTCATGACACGTAGCGCAGTTTGTTAGTGAATTTTTTGTAAATGATATATCCGCTTTGCTACGATTTGTCTGCGTAATGACAGAATAGCTACCCTCGGTAGCGTCACAATTGATAGTCGCGGCGTGGGCTTGCATCTTCATGAGAGTTGATATGATTTGAATCCCATCGTGGATGTGATTAGGAGACACAAACACATGGCTAGCGGGTGTAGTTTTTACAAAAATATCCGCGATATAAGCTTCAGGATTTGCCACTGAGCTCAAAGGCAGCCAACGAAGTCTGGAATCACAAACAGGCATTGTATCACTACTTTCACTTGTGCTTGTTTCGGTTGTTTCATCCAACTTATCGAAGAAAATGCCGTAAGAAATTGGAATACGTGCATCAACGCTGAAAGATGGAAGTAGAATAGGATAAAGGGTATCGCAGTGAAGCTCCACATTATTCGTGTTCACCTTTATCACATGATAAAGCATGTAACTTTTTTTAGCAGCTGTTGATAGCAATAGACAAGATTCCATAGTGAAATCAATTTTTGAAATATCTACAGCCGTCATAGCCGATAGGTGGTTTATGTGAAGTTCCCATTGTTTATTACTACCTTTTTCCATGCTATTTGAGCCAAAGGGAAAGTGCACCACGATGCGATGGAGAAGTATCTCACATGAAACTGTCCTAAATATAGGAGGAGAACAGCTGGCATTGCTTGCACCAATTTCTGGCGTTGTGACCGATGGGTTGATAGAACCCGGCTCATGTGATCTGGAGGTAAACATCCGAACACTTTCCTGAAAAGCGGGAATCAACTTCTCCGACCCAAAGTGCATAAGTCGAGACAAAATAACAAGATCATAGCAAATATGTAAGTCATGTGTTTTTATATCTATACTATGTTTAATTTTGAATGTGGGTAGTCCGTGAGATGGTTCATCGAGACATTGATATTCCCTCTTGCCACGATTCAGTGTGGCGCTAAAGCTGATAAATGACTCCGTCATGTCAACAGGCATCTCGACAGCAGGACTTATGGGGGTGTTCCAATACAACACTGGTGTTAAAGACGCCGAATGGGCGTTGCCACTTTGCGTCTTTTTGGTTTGGTTCATATTTACTAGAAAAGATGGCGATTCGGCAGCTACAGCATCGATTCGCACGATACTACCACACAATTGAGTCATGCAAATAGAGCATCTAGGTAACACAAAGAGTGCCAGTGTTTCCTCCCATGGTTCTTTAAGCAGCACTTTAGTATTTTTAAGGCTCAGCTTCAACTCCGAATGCGTAACAGCTGTGCCCAATAAGGAACTTAGCACCATTGTTGAGGACAATGAGAATTGCGATCGGCATTTGCTATGCAGGGGAAAGTTGAGCATCACTGCTTCGGATCCAGAACAAGATACGTTTTCACTAATATGTTGGGGTCTATATTTACTCAACACCGTTTGATTACCAAGTGCATTCGTCTGTGATGGTTGCTTAGTGACAAAGTCTGAAAGCAGGTTTATTAGAATAAGCCACAAATCTAGCTCAGTATAAACAGTAGTATCCTCTGTCAATACTTCAACATGGAATGGAAAAGACTGTTGGCCACAACACGGCAATATATTTTCTGCTAATACCATTGTTGCCCCCATGAGACGGACTTCTAGTAGAGGCCTTGCGTCCAGTGAAGACTGTGCTGAGCCTGTGATAGCGTCACCTCTCCCCCTCCCCTTTTGTGTTTCTTCTGCGAGGCAAGGTGTGTGTGCGGCATCGCGCGTTTCCAATGATGTCATCTCGTATTCCACGGCATCTATAATTAAATCACGAATCTGAAGGTTTACAACTACGTGCTGAGACCATTTTCCTCCTCGTGCACAGTAGTTCTGAATCCCGCTCAGAACTTTGAGACAAATTAGCTGCTGGTCTTCCGTGACAACACCCAAACGCAGGGACGACATCATCAGCACAATGGCAAACCCCGACGATGGGATTGCCGATGATGAAAACACTCGAGGTGAATATAAACTTGCGCGAGGTATATCGTGCTGAGGGATCTCAGACTGTGAAAGGGAAAATCCGGATGTTTGGAATAACGAGTTTGATTGACATCTACTAGCTATGCCACCTGTTGATCCTCCATTCGTATTAGAAAATGAGGACATCATAAGGTTGAATTTTATCACATTGAAAAGCGTTTTTATGCGATCTGCCGACATAATAACGTCGATATCAGCAGCACAGTTTGATAAATATGGCTGGTTATCACTGCGCATAGTTTTCTGCCGTGTTATTAAATCTACAGGATGCACATCAATAAGCAGAGTAAAATAAGTGCCTTTATTAAAAACTGTGTATTCGTACCCAGTTAAATCTTCTTTCAGCTCCAACAACGCTTGGAACGTAAGAACTAGACCCACCTCCATCAAGAGTGGGGACAATAGCTGTCCGCTAAAGGGAGAGTACAATATTTTTTTAATATCCATCGAGATGCTCCCTGGCAACTTGCTCATAGTACCAGACGTTGAGGAGTTAAATGAGGGGCAAGACTCGTTTCGAGCACTGAAACCAGTGCTATACACACAGAGCTCCCCGAGATGCAGATAAAAGTAGGTGCTTTCATCTGATATGTCAATTGGTAAATTAGAATTAGAGGCCAATAAGACGTCCATTTCAGAGACAATGACGCAAAATTGTATGGAATGCCACGCAATCTTCGGTTTGGCGGTGTCATCCGTGGCATGACTCTCAACGCCAGTGGATGTGGGCCATCGATTTGGAGATAGAGACAAACCGCACCGCACCACAGAGGACTGCCCAAGGTTGAAGAACTTGGTGTAAAAAGAATTGCTCGCTGAATCCAGGCTTTGCATAAGAAAGGGAATGTAGAGCGCAATATGTCCGCCACTGACGTTAAGGCTGCATTCTGGACCCCCAGTGTCGACGGCAAGCGTTTGCAGTAAAGGCCATCGTAGTGACATTACGTAATGCAATTCTTCAGAGAAACCAGAGAGACCAATGCTTGGGCCCAAGACAACAAAGGGTGCATTTACTTCCTCAAAGGCCACATCTTCCTCAATTCGGAGCGCTTTGGTGATATACCCAGTCAAATTTATATGAGCCACCTGGCCATCCGCACTGTAATTAATCTGAAAATCTTTGTGAATGACAGAAAAGGCTCGGTATGGATAGTCCATTAGCTTGCTGTAGGGCAGTTCTACTAACAGCGTGTTGAATTCCACCCTCCAAGACATGTCCAGAAGACCAGATGAAACATGGAAATCTGACGAGGCTGCATTTGGCAACAATTGTGACGTTTGTTGAGGCCGTAGGCATGTCGACAGATCAAAGGTTTTTGCTGCTGCCAAGATTAATTCAATGCCCTCTAAGAACTCCTCCCGAAGATAAAATGACAGATGATTCACATACACTAAAGCCTTGCTTTCAGGAGAAAAAATCACGTAAAGAGACTGTATGGTAGACAAAGATTTATCGGCTCCGTTAGTAATGGTGACATCCGCAAGCGACCCAAAACAGGTGCAATCTGTTGGACTCACCATCATTTCCAAGGCGTGTGCTTCCTTGGAAAAGTTCTCAAAGAAGTGCCGATACTCCGGAAAGGCTTCTGGGATCTCGACTGGACGCATCAGCTCCACCACGACAACATCCTCATGAGAGAAGCTTCGCAGGAACACACGAGTAAACTCAATACAGAAAGAATAGGTGCGCTTACTACGGCAGGACGCTGGTCGAGTATTGGTTCTCAAAGTGTCATTGGCCTGCACCCGCATGCTCTTTCCAACCTTTTGATATGTGGGTGCAACATGGTGCTCTGTCATCCATCGATACAGCAACGTGGCATACTCTCGACCGTGATGCGGTGGTACAGTTATTTTCGTTGTGCCATTTTTATTTAGACAAAGCCTCTCCGGGGACGCAAAATGCCAGAGGACTCCCTCTGGATTCGAGCTTTCATTCCACTCCTTGTGAAGAGTATAAATAATAGATTCGGTCTTCGATTGATGCTGAGAGTCGTAAAGAATACATGGTCTCAGCAAGAGATCATTGAGAAGAGCTATCACATATGGTTCAATGCTCACTTCGGCCCCGTTGTACAGACCTATTGATACTTCGGAAGGATTTACAAGGATGCAAATACTGGCAACAGACAAGATCTCCAGCGTGCTTTTCGGCGATAGGCGTTGGTGCCTCATGTTACCCGGCTGGCAATAAAGCCGAACGCCGCGGAGTTTCTCACCGATTGAAATTCCAATTTCATCTTCTTGTCCTTTGTAGCGTTTTTGTGGGCCTCTTACTGTTTTTATAGTAACGCAGGGTATGGAAAGCACCAGATAAGGTTCATCAAAGAATTGGCTTTGATCTGCAATATAGTTGAATGAGGGACTTGAAAATTCGTTTCCGAGGCCTTGATCGCTTTGCACAACCCCCACAAGACCGGAAAATAACTTTGTATCGGGTTCAAAATAAGATCCAACTTCCGGTTCGATCTCAGTGATGCTGTGAGGAGGTTGTGTAAATATATTGGATTCCGGTATCGTGTATGCCTGGTGCGATTCCAATTCCGATGACAGTGGATACGTGTTGCAGCTTATGCTATCCTTTAAATTCGGCCCAGCTGAAGTGCAATCATTGAGGAAAAGTGGAACTAGAACGTCGAAGCTGGCTAGAGATACACTCAAAAGTGGGAATGGTTTTATTGGAATGAATGGATCGACGGGCGATTCCTCAGTGCAAATGTCAGTTGCAGTGTCTCTTGGAGGGTCTGCCTGCGGAGCTGACAACGACGTCGAGAAAGTGGTGCGCATATAAGATTGGCTCAAAACACTCCAGAATTGAAAAATTTCATTCGACCACCATAGCATTTCATGCGTAGGTCTAACTATCATCAAAAAAGGCGACACCATTACGGTCATGCGGGTGCACGTTGCATTTCGTTTGACAACCAAAAAGTCTTCATTTTCTTCTTTCTTCGGGAAGTCTCTCTCGCTTGACAGTAGCAAAGGTGTATTAAAGGTTCCACTGAAACCGGCTGAAAACGATTTAACGAAGATAGAAAGACCCGATCGATCGTCTTGCGGCTCCTGAACTGTATTCAAAAACCATTCAACGTTGTTTAGACGTACATGAAGCTTTTGATCTAAATGTGCAAAGAAGTTTGTTGTTGGAATATCACTTCGATCTAACACCCAGTAACGCGGAACAAACGACACCTCGAGCGTATTACACCGAACGAGCATGAGAAGGCTTAGCCCAGAAGATTGCGCTTTGCAAGTCACGGTACTTTTTTTTGCAGTCAACGTGGGCTGAGAACTAAAAAGTTCAGAAAAGTATAGCGTTCTGTATCGCGGCTTAAGATCAGGAGTGCCGAGGTGGGCAAGATATCGCCTCGCAACGCTCCACTCTGCATGAAATATCTGAAGAAGAAGAGCTTTATGATTATTTGACTGGGGATTGGGGGTATGCATAGAAGTCGATAGTTTAGTGTCCTTTGTCAGCGCCGAAGGCTGCGTGGTGTCCGTCGATGAGAACCTTGAGATAGTTGGTTGACTCTCTTCGTTTCTGCCCCAACGAATCCAACCCAAAAGGCCCTTTCTGGATGTTTTTTCCGTCATTGGATCTTCTGCTGTAACGGAACGACCTGAGGAAATCGGCGTTTTTGTTCGGAGGGCTGCTGCAGACGCGATCAATTGCTTCTGAAGCTTGTGTAGTTCCGCCTCCATTCCTAACTCTGCACGAGATAAACAACGCAGAAAAAGAATCTGCTCAATAGTAAGTTGGCGTTCTAATCTGCCAAGTTCATCGCGTTCCTGAGGATCCAAAGGGGGCAGCCAAGACACCCTGTCCTGTCGTTTGAATAATTCGCAGTACGAGCGTCTAACTTTACAGAAATCCATCATGGCCTCCAATACGCTTCTAGTTTCGTTACCACTACTGGGTAAACGTTGCTTTTGTTTTTGTATCACATTTCGTACACAAGCTAACACAAAGGCCCACCGTCGCTGTCCTATGAAAGTTACAAGCTTAGAATCAGCATTGTTATCCAACAAATACAAATATTTGCGGTGAGGGGCTCCAACAAGGCCATGCTTAAAAGAGCACACTAGTGTCTTCAATGCCAACAAAGCGCCGAAGGAGACCTGGGATCGAACCAAAGATCCAAAGATTACTTCCAGAACAGTTCGTGCCCTAGATGAGGAATCATACGTGCAAGCCACACGTGGGTTCTTCGAATTTTTCTCTTGAGTATTTTTTTTGGAATTTGGTAATTTTACGCCGTCATCAGAGCCTACCTTAATATTCAAAAGGGCGTCACTAAACTCTAATAACACTTCGGTGTGTTCCCATTCCTCACTAACGCACTGAAAGCACTTCTGAATGTTGAAAGAACCTATTTCATCATTATCGCCCTTTTCTTTTTCTGTCATTGGATGCTTCAACGACGCAAGTTTTGCAGAGCAGGATTCCGTCGCTGCTAATGCTCCTACCTTCTGTAATGTGGTGAGTTTGGGCTTCGAGGTTCGGGTCTTGTGCACCGCAATGCGGAGATCCTTCACCGTCACCGCCCTGGATCGCAGCGTAGAGAATTCATCGGTAAGGTACTCACCAAGAGGTTCCCCTGTGGGGGTTGCAGAAATCTCATCGATAAAAATCGACAGCGAAGCTGCAAGCTTTGGCTGAAGACCAGGGTAGTCAAAGATATACTGTATCGAAACGCAGCAAATCGATAAGTGTGCATTCGCAAAAAAGGATTGCATGATCTTTTCTACATACTTCACAGCAGTTGATTCTTTATGTAAATTGAAAATGGACGAAATATCGCTAGGACTTCGAGGTTTTTTTGTATTTGCATACATACTTGGTTTACCACCAGAGGTAGTGCTTTTTTGCTGTACCCCATCGCTTTTAGGATCCTCTTCACACTTTGTCATCATGGTTATATTAGCTGCATCGCGCTCCTTTTCAAAAAGATTAAGCTGATCCTGCAATATAACACTTTGGCGTGCTTCTTCTTCTTCATGATTAAATGGTCCACTGCGAAGCGGTGCAAGCACTAACTCCACTCCCTTCACCTCAATACTCACCTGCTCCTGATCGAGTCTAGGCCATGGAACACGAAGAGTTAACTCTCGAATGAGTCCCTTGACAACTATCAAAGGCATCAGAAGAGTCTGAGCTGCTGCTGCGTCTTCTATATTGTCTGTATCACACTCTTCAAAGGAATTATCATGAGAGGAGTCCGAATCATTAATTTCATTACCCTGCTTCTCCTGTCGTTTCCGATACTGCAAAATAAGTAGCGCAATTTGTTCAAGAATGTCCGGCTTCAGGTGCACATCTTTGAGAACAAGATTGCCGGACCACAGAGACACTCGTATCTGATCCTCATTTAAGTCACTAATGTAGCAACTTAGCTTGCGAGCTAAGAAAACTGATAATTGCTTCTCAAGCATTATATAAAGAAGCTAACCAAGGACAAAAAATAGTGCAATATGTAGTGCTATTTTTTAGTAAATTTTTTTTCATCGAGCGAATTAAAGCCTTAGCTATCCAGTATATGCGTATACATATAGTTTCCTATGTCAGAGGTATTGTGGGACCTTTTTTCGAGAAGCATGTTATAAACAAAAGTTTCAGCAAATAAACAGAAGGGGGAAAATAATAAAAATAATAGCAAATTGATGAGACTCGGTGTCTTCCTTCGGATTAGGTTACATAAATTACATGCTAGCATTCTAATTTTACGTGAAATGATTGACTATACATTCACAATATCACCTTACACCACTAATAGATATCTATATAGATATAAACGGACATAGTTTGATTTCAGATTCATACGATTGACATATTTGTGACAAGGAGTAATGAAGAAACCACCTCCTTGAATTTTTCTAGCGTCACATGCCCATTTTCGTCCACTGCATTTGCAATGGCCTGTTCAAGGGATTGCTGAGCAGAGCTGGACTGCTCGTCATCAGTATCAGTGTTGTCATTCATTGACAAATTACGACACGTATTCCACAGTTGTTGCTCGGTGATGTACTTTTGCCGCGTCACATCGATTAGCTCAAACATCGTTTCAAGGTCTTTTTCATTAAAAAAAGACGAGCGAGTCTTCTCCTCACTGATTTTCTTGATTTCTTTGGATAAGAATCCGCGAGGATCTTCCGGAATGTGATACAATAGAAGCTTTAGAAAATGAGCAAATAGCTCATTCAAACGATGTTTCTTTATATACTCCTTAGTCAATGTAACTTGTTCTAGACTATTGAAATTCTCCATTGTTTCAATGGCTTGATTTATTCACTCACTTCTCTTTTAAGAAAAAAATAAATAAATTTTTAGACCACATCATGTTCATTGTTTCCTTCTAAAGGAAAGGGTATTATCTAGGAACAAAAAGAGTGTTCCACATATATACACACACAATATATATATAGATATATATTGTTTACTTAAAAGGCAAATGCCAAACAGCAGAAGCAAAAGACTAGCATATATTTTTACCAATGTTTACATTCAACGGTACAAACCCCGACGCACCAACCTATACTCTGAAACTAAAAGTAAATGAGATGTTCTTTTTTTCCCCATTACTTAGACCAGGTCTGATTGCGCCTCAAGTTTTTATACAACACCATCCCGCTTGGTGTGAGGTCGGCGGACAGATGCGGGTGATGCGGTTGGCGCGGCAAGACATAGGGAACCGGCCGCGAGGGCACTTTATGCGTCCGTGTCGGCCCCACCAAATGCAGCTCGGGCGCCAACAACAACCCCAGCGAGCTGGTCACCCGAAAGGCTTTCTTTTTCGTCTCCACGCGATTCACGCGGTGAAGAATAAACGCCGCTTCGCCAGTGCGAACCATCGCGCGTAGAAATCGCCACCGAAGTCGCGCCCGCGCCACACTTGCCTCCTTTGAATAATCCCCCTCCAGCAGTTTCAGGGCGTTGCTCATGAGAACGTAGGCGGTGGCGCTCCCTAAGTCACCCACATGGTGCGCGAGCTCGTTTTTGGTGGATAGAGCAGTGCGAAAAATCGCGCTGGGAAGGCGCTGAATCTCGGCCCTGCGCTTTACATTCATGTGCAATCGACCAGGACCGATGTTGTTAAATAAATTCATAATTTCCTCCTCTGTATCCTTTTCGGAATCGGTTGGGAGGTTAATCCCAAGAACATTGGAGAAGTGTCTGGGCATGAAGGCAAACAGATCCAGGTCATTTCGGGTAAAGAAATCGCGTTGATTTTGATCCTTATCCTCTTCCTTCAAATTCTGTGGGGGGGGCATGTTGGGGAACATCTTGCCGGAAGAATGTGCATCATGATCTTTACCCTGTCCTTGATATTCAGGTATGCCATTTAGGATGGGATCACTAAAATTTAAAATATCGCTGCTGCTGCAATCTTCGCTGTCGTCGGAATCACTTTCCGTATTGTTCAGATGGAGTCCAGTGCTCCCACGACTGCGAGCCGCGACGTGGTCCTTTTTTCGACCTCGTTGTTGTTTCTGAGAGAGCAAACTCTTTCGTTCCTTTCGGTCTCGCATTATTACTTCCTTCAGCTTCATCGCTATCCATATTCGTGAGTCGGCGTAAAAGCGGGTCGCCCATTCGTTAATGTCCGCCTGGGATTCCAAGATGACCACTGGAGCATTAGGATTGGGTAGCAAATGGGGTAAATGGGTCACGGAGTTATTTTCGTGATAAAGTAGGGCAAACTGACCAGTCTTTTCCTTGTCCCCACTGACGGAGAGAGCTTTCGAAGGGAGGTCGTTTTCACCACTTAACATGGGAAGACTAATGGGTGGAGCATCCTTCGCATCAAGCGCATCATCTTTTTTGGAAGAAAATGACAAATTTATACTATCTTCATCCAGCGGTAATGGTGTGTCCCCATAAATACGTTTGAATGTGCCTTCCAAATTATTTTGAACGGTACACAAAAAGCTATTTGAATCACTTTCGGTATCATGCATAATACTGTGCTCTATAGAAGAATTAGCGCGACCCTTTGCCATAGGCGATCCGACACGGCCACTTTCTGGCGTAAAAATCAACATGGCGTAATCCTCACCAGGCTTCAGCCCTCCGTGCATAATCAGATAATGAAATTGTCTCACTTTTTTTTTATCCGAAGTGCTAGAAGAGCGATAGTACGCCGCGTAGGCGTACTTACGCTGAAACATTGGTGCTCCATTGACGGTGTACAATAACGCTTTATTTACCGTCTTAGGGGACACAAGCGGGGCATTAGAAAGCGATGTTAGATTCTTTAAAGAGAAACTCTCAGCATTGGGTGAGGAATTATCAGGGGAAAGCTTATTGGTGTGAAATCGCGTGCGGCTTGCGTGGGTTGGGGAAAACATGTTCGAATACTCATTCAAACTCCCTTGCATAATTTGTTCATTTATTTTTTCCCGAGTCTTAGCCAGCAACCCCTTCAGGATACTGCGCGGAAACCTGGATTCCATCACAGACCATGTGAAGTCATTTAGTTGCAATTTGAAGAACCCATAGGCTGAACATTTTTTACTTCGTACGGACATAGAGGTACTGATCGGACTGAATTTATGTGGGGACCTTGACAGCGACGAATTAGAGGACCCTGGCCGCTCATCCTCTTTTAGGAGAGGCAGCTCAGATAAATTAAGCGGAAAATACCAACTTTGTTGACCTTCATTGTAAAAGCCCCCCATCATCACAAATTCGGACAGGAATATATTCCAGAAAACGTCCATCCGAAAGAGAACCGGACTCTCGGAAGACCGGAAGGTTTGCACTCGAGTCCAGGCCAGAGTATTAACGTTAAGCAAGTAAATAAACGGCGCTGTCATTTCATTTTGCGCATTAGAATCGCGCTCCCTAAGCCCAAGAACAACCACAGACGTTGATGGCTCGTGATAGGCGGCAGTAACAAATTGTAATTGCTGAGAATCAACCTCCTTAGGTCCTGGAAAACCACTCCATACACGATTACGAATGTCAAACACATGCCCTAGATGCATGTTGTACGCGCGTTGATGAAACCCACCTATGACAAACATGCTATTTGTCGTTGAAACATATACCGCAGCGTGGAGGAAAACGGGACCCGGGCTATTACTTTTGTCATAGTTAATCTTATCCCAGTAGCTAGTTAATAAGTCAAAGGTGTACAAAGTATCGAATACCTCGAGGTTTCGATGGCCACCATAAATCATAATTTTGTTTGGCGCACAGAAAACTAAAGAGTGATTTGAACGACCAGATGGCACGTTACCCACCCCACGTAACTCTCTCCACAGAAAGCTGCGTTTTTCATGGAAGAAAAATTGATTTGGAAAATGACCCTTTACATTCAACCCGCCAAAAATGTAGAAGTTTTGATTATACATAAAGGCTGTGTGGCCTATACGAGGCATATAACCCTTGTATTCAGGAATGATACCACCAGAAAAGCTAGTGATGTTACGCAGATGCGATATTGTCGAGGGAGGCCTCTTTTTTAATTCAGTCTTCTTAGTTTCTGGGGCTGGTATTTTTTTTTCAGCACTCTTTCCCACAGTTGTAGCTCTTCGCGCCTCAGACACGTTAGTGCCCCTCCTTTTGTTCGGCTTTTCCATCTGTGAATCAGCTGTGATGCTTGCAATACAGAGCCAGCTAATAAGAAGTCGAAATGTGAATACCAAGTGGGCTAGATGTCTTAGACGATGCAGAGTACCTGGGAAGTGAGACTCAATCCCTCAGTAACACAGGTCTAGAAGTGTTCCCTTGCGTTGTGGTTAAATGTGTGTTTATTCTAATGAAAAGGGGGGAAGAAATGCTTGTCTACCTAAAAAACAAGATATTTTACATAAAACAAGAAGCGATTAGCGTGCCTCTTTTCTCCTCCTAAGAGCAAACCACTCCGTTAGATGGAAGCTGGTGCTAATCTAGAAAATGATACTTGGCGTAGAATTCATTTAAAAAGAAGGACAAATGTAAGAAACTTATAAGTTGTACAATCCCAGATAAATTGGGGTGGGGGAGTGGGGAGTGGAAGAGGGAAAAATAAAAAGTAACAATTTGCATAGGGCACTACAGGCCACCTGAGGGCAATATTCAACTCATAAACAACCTTTCTGGTTGAATATATATGCAGATTACAAGAGGTGAAGAATAATTCAATGATAATAGTGAACCCACACAGTGAAAGTGGCAAAGATGTTGAAGCGAACAGCTACACCAACAGCTTTTCACTTCAATTTAGATCTCAGTCTCTGATGGAATATTAAACCACAAACAGCATTTTAGCATATAAGTGTAGGGTATTACAGGTCGTTGGATAACCTTCGTTCGTTCAAACTGCTCCACTGAGGGCTGAGCAGCACCGGTTACATCCCCTTCCAGATTCGTGAACTGGTCTGGGGCAATGTGCAATGCTTGCATCACTTTTTGAATGAAAAAAGAAGAGCCTTTTTTTGTATCAGCACCTGACTTCTGCATACATTTTTCAACCTCAGCGCTATGGTCAAGGGCAACCTGCATGTCTCGATGAATGCCTACCACGTACCGCATGGTGGTATGCACCATCATAAGTTCGTAAGTTGCCATTTTTTCCTCAATATCTGAAAATGGTGCTCCACTCTCACATATACGTTTCTTTAAGATAGAAACCTCCTCAGAAACCTTAGCATAGAATTCACTGTTGTCCTTTTCGATCTCCATATCAGGAGCCTCTGCTCGAATGACGAGATTGCAGTGGCGGAGAGCATTTAGGCTAGATGTGTCATGGGCTTGCCGCGGGGAATAAGTCTGCGTAAGCCTATCATCAAGTGAAGCACCCTCAGCCGCGTGCAAATCCTCTGGCGTCAGACCAAGCGCTTGCGCCACCTCCAAAACCGTCTTCGTCAACGCTTCCTTTTGCGCAGCCAGCTGAGACGCGTTCTTTGTGAGGTACTGATCCAAGATCGCCATTTCCTGCCCTTCCTTTACGATAGTACGATCCCCCGCCGTCGTTAGCGGGCTATCCTCGCCATCCTTGGGGGCTGCCGCCTCGTAGATTGATTCAATAGTCGTGATGCAAAGAGAATTGGGGGAACGCCAAAATAACTGACGCGGGCGGCTCGAGGATCTAATATTTGGGTCCAGCCCTGTGGGATGACGTTGGGATTGTTGCAAGTCGTGTAACAGGAACTGTCTTTTCAATTCCCCCTCAGCCGCCCCCATGGCCTCGTTGAGGTCATCCGGGGATGGAGGCGGTAGGGCCTCGGCCTGCTCAAAGGAGGTTCCGGCTTGACGCCCCGACTCCATGGAAGGAACAGGGCTCAGGTTGGGCTTTTCGTCATGGTGTACCCTACGGATGGTTTGCGCGAGGATGGAGGCCAGATCTGCCGCACCTTCGGCATCGCCGTTGGCCAATGCGATGGTGAGCTGACGATGCAGGCACAAAGCGGTTGGGTGGGTTTGAAATACCCGTGTGAGGAATTGCATGGGGTTTGAAGTCGCCCCAGAGGAAGAGGGCGTCCACGGTGGCGTGTTCGACCCACACGAGTCGGTCGCGCTGTATTGCATGGAAACAAGGAGAGAAGAAAACGTCCTGAAAGGTTTGGTGTACAAACGATGCCGAGAAAAGGGCTGAAAAGCCCTATTACTGATGTATCGGGTTGTAAACACAAGCGATATTTTATTCCTTGATGGATTACGTACAGCTCTAAAGTGCATTTTTTTCATCACCTTGGGTATATTACCCTTGTCCCCTTCTCGCTCGACGACGCACCCTTTTTTATTTGTGAATATTGCTTAACTTACGTGTTGCAATTGCGCGTTTGATATGTTGAGGTGGACTAAAAGGAGACTTTTTCTTTATTTTTGTCATAAAAAGAAGAAAATGATTATTTAAAATTTCATTAACACATATTCGGTATCCCACCCTAAAATATTTTGAATATTGACTAAAACAAATGATTCCTGAGGGCATTGGATTATGGATTTGAGTCTTTTTTGCTGTTGTTATCATTTGTTCTTTAGCATCAAACTTAAAGATGATCGAACTAAACAGATGCACACAAAGTGCAGTACAGTTTGAGTTTATTTCTAATATGAGAAGAAAAGAAAAGTCAGAGATAACTCTATATACCATGCTAAAGGAACTTCGAAGACGTCGCTGCTCCATGAATTTTCAAAAACTAAACGTGAAAGCGTGAGAATATGATGCGAGGATATAACAACAGCAAAGATAATCGATTTTTTAACTTTGGTGTCAGTGGCATTCATTCTGAAAGTTATACCATACTTTACACTGAAAGTGAATTCATAAAATGCTCCGCCAGGGACGGATTAAGCTCAACTCGTCTTCTAAAGTGGTGGTCAGTAGACAATCGACTCTTTAGTATGTCAAGACGCCGCACTTGTTCATATTCCTTTCTCCTTTCTTCTTCTTTTTTCCTTCCTTGTAAAGCGTTCTTGTATAGATTATTGCATCGTTTTTCAGCTGCTTTTCTATCATTCCGTTGCCCAGGGGGCTTTCCTTCAGAGCTATCGTTTTTATTTAAGCTATTATCCCTCGTCTTCAGCTTCCCTGTTTTTGAAGAAGCCGAATTTCCTCGTGCAGAGCGATTCAAGCCAGGGTAATTAATAATACAAGGGTGAAACGTGCACCCCTTTATCTCCTGCTCCTCACGTTTCTTTTTTAAGGTCTCAGGTTTAACATAGCCGTGTATATTAAGACGACCTACCATATTCTTTTGCTCGCTCGATGAAAGCTTGGGGCCTTTCATTATTTCTTTGATGAAAGCTTGCACGGCACTATCGTCTTTGCTAGCTTGCGTTTTCCATTTTCGCTGGGCAACTGCGAGAGGATCGGTATTGCGAAAATGTCTCCTGAGATGATCAAGCTCAACGCGCGCCGCAAGACGGGAGATTGCAAACTCCTCCAGATCGTGTTGCGCACGATCTTGGCGCGCAGCCTGAGCCTTCTTTTCCTTTCTTCGAACTTCGTCCATGGCTCTAGTGTACATATTACTAAAGAAGGCCGCCCGTTGGGCTTCGGTGCGTTGAAGCCCCGCAGAACCCTTGTTTCCCGACCGAGCAGAAACCGATGCCGAGGCCCGCGCAGAGCCGTTGCTGCGGCCCCGTAGAACGCTGGCTTCGCCAGGCCTCTTGGGGCGACCGCTACGTGCACTGCCTGAGGTGCTATTCTGGTAGCTGGCCTGGCTCGTATTGGGGCTGCCCTCGGAGGCCCGCGTGCTTTGTCGCGCGTTGTACAACCGCAGATACACCCCATTGGGGTCGCGAAGGAGCTCCTCCTGCCGGCGCCGCCGTTCTTCACGGGCTCGGATGCCGGCATTGATCGTTCCATTTTCGATCTGCCTGCAAATGTTCTCGAGTTTGTCCTGCTGCGCCTCCAAGGCACGCCGTTCCTCCCCGTCTCGGCGATTACTGTGGTGGTACAGTCGCTGCCACGGACTGGCGCGCATGTCCTGCTCAATGAGGTCGTCACGGGTGGCGATTTCATCCGCCAAGACCTCGAGTCTGTGCTGGACTTCATCGAGAAGGGACTTTTCTTCGGCTGGTTGCAGCTCGCGTTGGGGGGAGAGATGGATGGACGAGGCCGCTTTTAATGAGGTCCGGTGGCTTGGCAGGCGCGTTGGGCTATTTTTCACATATCGACGACTCAACCCATCAGTCCTGGCTTGATGCCTAAGCGACGGATTGGGTCGTGAGGAGGAGTTCCAGGAAGACGAGCGATGGGAAAAGCCCGAGGGCATGCTGTGTTGGTCTCGATTTTTCTCACCTCGTGCACTGTGTCGAGGTAGACGATGTTCCATCGAATGGGATGCAGAATATCCTCTGAAATTTGGATTATTTTTCTCTGCATGGCGACGCAAGGATGCGGAAAAAGATCGACAATCGCTTGGAGATGCACTTCGGGAAATATTAGATCGGTTCGGAGTCGGATCTCTTTTATGGTCCATACTTTGATGCTCTGAAGACCGATAAGAGCTACAAAAAGACCTCCCTTCACACACCGGTGTTCTAGAAGGTGACTTTATATCAGGCGGTGGTGACAAAGTCGAAGAGCTTGAGCCCCATAATGGTTCGTACTCTGCATCAACAGAATTCATGTGATTATGATATGGATGATGTATCGCACGTTTTTCACTTTGTCGTTCGGGAGTTGGATAATTCCGTGATCTTTGTGTGAATAACGCATTCGGCATTACTTTCAAAGGATAACGAACGTTTACTTCCGCATCGTGTAAGTGCTTGTTCTGTTGACGAGGCGATGGACGCAAAGGGACGTTCTGATTCAGTCGCTGCGATTTTTTTTGAATTTCACTATGTTTCGAAACGTTTGCCCACAATTCAGGTGCGATGCCCTCCTTACATTGATCCACTACGTCTTTTGAAACAACATCTCCGTACAGATGAGGGTTCTTTTTGCGGTTCTGCAATAAATAGTGAGAACACGATTTTGAGAGATGTGAAGATTTTTGGCCTGAATTTGTAGAATGTTGTTCTGAAGACATTGAAATCGAGCGTTCTTTTTTTACCCCATGACTAGGATCTCGAGTAGTCCAATAAACATGAGCGTTTGGATTCAATGAAGGCTCTGCAGGTCTATTCGAAGCTGTCAGCCTCTTGCGCGGCACAATATCAGGAGTCACTGCCGCACATGTAGATGTCTTCCCGTACAAAGTGTATGGTTGCACGTTTGCCCATCTCGAGTTGTTTTCTCCAAGATGTGAGGAATGTTGGGCTTTTTTTGCCGTTACGCGCTTGAGACCGACACCTTCACTTCTAAAAATAGGTGTTCTTTCAACCTTGTTCGCTTGTCTCCATAGGTTTCCGTTAGAATCCTCAGATTTATTCGTCAGGGTCTGCTCTCTGTCGGACCCTATCGATCGAAATTCAGTAAGAATTGATGAACATTCGGAAACGTGCTCACATAGATAGGACTCTACGGCATCTGAGGCCGCCCCACGGTTAATCCCCTTCAGGCCTCTAGTGCTATCATTTCTTTGCTTTGCCAAAGCAATCGAACTCGGCTTTGGAGTCCCGGGGTACGAAGTGGGTTTGGTGCCATGCATCACCGTCCAAACCTTATTGCTGTGGTCAAGAGAAAAGTTAATTTCATCATTATATTCTGATGCGATATTTTTTTTATTGTAAGTAACCTCCAGTGCTCCTAAATCATCCTCCCTTGTGCCTGCACCTTCTCGAGGTTGTGAGGAACTTGTCACAGAGTAGGTACAAGAAAAGTGAATGGATATATCGCTGGGTATATCTTCTTTTGAAACGGAGTTCATTCGCACCTCTGCTGGAATTTGCTCCACTGGTGCTGTTTTTGATACTTCAACAGTGGATGCATACCGTTCTTGGAAGGTAGGTTTAACATTCGCACTTTGTAGCTGGCCTTTTCTAACTTCGAGCTTGTCTAATGGCAACTTATGAACAATTTTCGACTTCAAACTATCTTTGGACTCAGCCCTATTATTCTTTGGTTTGTTTTTGCCACTCGAAGCTATAGTATTTGAAGAATTATTAGATATAAAGCCCATATGTTATTCACAGGTGCGCTAATGAAGAGAATAATAATAATGATAACTGCAGTAGTTTCAGCCCATAGCACTTATGGCAAGGGGCACATTTCGTTTTCCTCCTCAAAAAATCAGTTCAGAAACATGAATTTTTTATGTACCTGTTTTTCTTTTTTTTTTGGGGGGGGGGAGGTATGAGGGAGGGGACCATTACACGATTTAATATGTTAATATATTATTTTGAGATATAATGACTTAACCTGTTTAGCTAATTGCACAGAAAAACTTTGCACCATAAGTGTGTCTATCCTTAAATGCTAGAGCCCCCTTTTGCACACTCGTCTACACATTGAACTCTTTACACGTGCAAGAGGATGGAGATCAAATTTTGCAACTGTATATCCAGAGAAAAGCTAATATCATTCAAAATTTAGTCCTTATTTTTCGGCATTTGTGGCCTGCCGCTGCTGGGCCATTTTCCTTCGTTCCTTCCTACCTGGACGCATTTTAGACTTATTAACCGAATGAGCGGCAGAAGTTGGAAGTGATTTCCGCTGAGCCTTGGGGGCTTTAACCCTTGGTGCAGTTGGATCCCCTTTGTTCTTTTCATTTTTGGTGGCTTTGCAAATACGGATGCGCTCACCATGATCTTTGTCATCTCTATTCCTGGTAGTCCGATGATGTATGGGCTCAGATTGTAAAGTGGGCGTCTCCAAATTTTGGCGTGTATAGTCCAATGAAATTCCAAGTACTGAATGTAGGGCTGCCTGTTTATCCGTCAAAGAGGAGAGAATCCCCTTGATATCATTCCCCAACCGATTATGATGGCCAAGTTTGCTGCCTAGAATGGGCACCATACGACGAAGCTCAAAACTGTAAACTAAATCTTCTTCTGCGGCGTGGTTATCGGTATCCGTGGGGTGGATCGCCTGCTCATAGGTTGCAGCGCTAGTGTTCGTACTGGGGACTCCAGATAGGGTGTAGCTGTGGGTTGGCCCGACGTGATTTGAGAGGGAATCCCCACCTGTTAGATTGCGCGCGTTAGAGAGTTTCTGGAGGTGCGGAATAGCAATCATCACGCTACGCCTCCACGTTGTAATAAGAGAGCCAAATACAGACATATGGATCTTAGATTTTCTGTCCGTTGTGGCTGCAGTCTCGGCGCAATGTGTAGCATACTGCTGCACTAAAGAAGCAACCGATACGCCACGGCCGTCTTCGGAAGGTATAGAAGAAAATAAAATAGGATCATTGCGGTTCGATGTAGACACCTTCAAAAAATAGCTACGGCTACCCGCTCCTCTCACCGCCCAAGAGGATGGGGGCGCTGGTGAGACTAAAGCCTCCCGCACGTCGAGTTGGAGCGATGAAGAAGGGTTCGTAGCCTTGCTTTCTGTCTGAACCACCTTCACCGAGTTATGGCCATCAAGAGCAGCGCATATATTAACATTTTTCAGTCCCGAGTCACCAAGCAAGAACTGAAAAGACAACCGCTGCTGTTGACCAAGCACCCACAGTACCGCCGCTAAATTCGGCGTCGTTGTCTCCGTTTCGAGGAGTGGTCGAGAATCTAAGAAAGTTTCCGTGAGCATGGCCCCTCCTTCAAGATTGCACCCAATAAGGTAGCGCAGGGTCACATATACAACGCTGGATAGAAACCCTTGCGCCGCCCTTTTCTCCTCTTCGACCGGTGAGCGGGATTGGTCATCCGCATAGTGCACTGACCTTAAAATCGAATACAAATAACCACAATCCAGAGATAGCGAGACTAGGCTCTGGGATTCGTTGGAGGAATCCTTCATGGACGAGACGGAAATCCCTGAGACAGAGCTACTAAAATCAAGCAGTGTGCGGCCCATGACCTTCTCTTCTGCAGCCATGCTGAGATACTTTTTTTGGCAGTAGGCCTGCCAACAGGAGGCGATGTCAACTTTGGTAACACCCCTCCCCAAAGGTAGAACATTGGCACCATTCCCCATAATCAAAACAAACAAGAACACAAGATCCACGCAAGTTGTCTCAAGAATATAGCCGGCTTCTTTGTAATATTTGCTAAGAAACAGGTCGTTGCGGGAATCACCAATAGACGCTGTTTCGTCTTCACGGCTCGGCACCGGTGCTGTAATTTTTGACCCAAGGACGGTGGCCATCAACGCGTTACCCTTCACATCATCGTCGTCGTCGCTACTGCTGTACGAGAATTTTATCTGAACTCCTGTGGCAATGTTTGGACCATCCTTCTTTCGCCTTCGCGGAACATCCTCGTCGTCGTCGTGTGCGGTCTCTTCGCTATCTTTGTACATCAAAAGAGTGTCCTGAGGTTTAGTTCCAGTTTTCTTGATGGGTTGAGCGTTTGCGGTTTGTTCAAGGGTACCCCTGTCTGTCTTTTCTGGTACCGAATCATTTTCCACTTTGAAGGTCTCGACGCAATCCGCAATGTATTCCAGAACTTGCTCCACTCGCAATATGCACAGGTCTAATGTAGTGCTGCGCAAATTGGTGGCGATGCCGATGGTGTGGGGTGCGGGACCGCACAGCGCACCACAGAGCATATCTGAATCTTCCGAAATGAAAAGAAAACTGGGTAAAGTACGCTCGTGAGCCAGCAAATGGGCAGCCGTAATCGTGCGATGAAGGTCCAAAATCTTGTAGTCCGCCTCCCCAGCGACGTTGCGACCACTTATCAAGACCAAGGGCGTGGAGCCGCGACGTTTTTCGTCCGATTCATTTTGAAGTTGGGATTGATAGTGTTTAGTTAAGACAGTACACATCCGCTGAACACGAACATCCAGATCACCAATCATTGTGTGCGTCTGCCGATGGTGCCGCACAGTCCCCTCTCGGCTCCGTTGAGAATCTAAAGCGAAGATAACGGCCTTTCGTACGGTAATGGTGGGGAGTTTAAGGAACTCAATAAGCTCATCAATACCAATTGTCTGGTCGACGTTGGTTGCATCTACCAGAATATAATCAAACCGCAGCGTGCTGGACGGTGTACCGCTGCGTGGTACGCGGCATAACGCCCTGGGCGAAGAGCGTGCGGCAAACTTTAGAAAATCAGGAATACCCATTAATACCACGTCTAGGCAAGGAGAGAGAGGATAGACAAGAATGTTCTAAGGAGTAAAAAACCTACCCGAGTACTTGAAAATTTAAAAAAAACTGAAGAAAAAGTAGAAATAACAATACTATTTCAGACCGGGGGATTCCATAGCCTCATGCTCTCCGCAAACAAAATTTTACCCCACCTTTACTGGTTTGAAAAGAGTGAGTAGTTATAATCTCACAAGTTATTGATTGTGGCCATATTGATGAAAAAAATTCAACACCTTTAACTTTGACCTTTGCACGTAGCAACATCTAATTCCTCTTCTAATTGACTCATTTTAAGTGATGTCTCCCTTCGAAACTTCTCTAACGCTGTTATCCCACCATGTTTTTCAATCCACTGTTCAAGTTCCTTCAATTTTTGAAGCGTTTTAGTAGTCTGTTCCTTAGCATCGTTAAGATCTTCGGTAAAATAGACTGTGCCAGCGCTGTCAAACGAGTCTTTAATGAGCTCTCTTGCCTCTTCAAAGCATTCGTTAAGCTCGTTAAGGTGTGAAATATATTCTGGGTGTTGTGTGATTGACGTGATATCACCATTGTTTGTGTGGAAGCGTCGTGTCGTAGAAAGGGTTGTTTTCAGTCCCAAAGTCAAAAGCCCTCCATGAGTAAACTCAGATAGAACATGATAACATCGACCCGAAGCAGTGAGTTGCAAAGGTGTATGAAAGAGACGGATGGAATATGAAAGCTTCGGAAAGATCTTGGAAAGAATGGGCTTACTGGAAAAAACGATTTCTGTCATTAAAATATATGTATATATAATAATAATAATAATAATAATAATAATAATAATAATAAGTTACTAATAGCGTTTCTTGCAAGTGTTATTGCAGATTGTTTAGACCGATTTGTGGCACACAAAAATCAATATACTAGAAACACCTCACATGAAAAAAAAAAAGAGAGATGAAACTGAACAATGTGACAAAGAATTCTTTAAGTCTACAATGTCATTTTGATTTGTTACACAATTCCATAGCACTTCCAAAACTTAAATAACACGAGTATATAAGAGAATCAACATTAATACATAGGAATATCAGTGTAGTAACTTACATGCAACGATTGCTGACCTCACTAAAGGACGTAATATAAAGGCTATTGACGTATAGAAAAGTGTTTCCTCAGATTACATAATTCACTATTCTCAGACGCTTCACACTTTCACTACTCCTGAGAATTGTACTTTCTCAGTCAATATTTTAGCGAATGCGAAAATGATTACAATTATTTATTTAAAAGTTATGTAAATTAGGACGAAAGTACTCCACTGTATTATTCAAAGCAATCGACTTAAAAATTGTTTTCCCTTAATACCCTCACAAAGTGCAAGCCGAGTCAGAATAAAACAATAATATAGGATTATTTCACACTTTCTATTAAGCTGTTCATATCAGCAATAATAGCAAATCACATTCAGTGTAAAAAAAAATAAAACATTACAGAATTCATTGAATGCCATTCAAAGAGAAATATATACAAAATAAGTAAAAAAAAACATTATTAAAACGATGAAAAGGAATACACAAGCAACCAAACGTAGAAAACGCTACCTGTGTTCGCATAGCTGTCTTGAATATATTCATATAGCCAATCCTTTTTTTGCATGATTGCTACCCTAAGATTATTTTTCTTTCTCTTTTTGTGAAGCAGGAAAACAACATTGGATATTATATTTTCGATCTGTTACCTTGTTGTATCGATATTTTACTAATTAATGTGACGTTTTTAATACTTCATAATTATTACAGTTACATATGTGTGTGCAAAGTAGACTTTGTTATTTCATTACTAATCCATTTATAACAAACAAACAAACAAACAAAAAAAGAAAACAGGAACAACATGCGCAACTGTGATAGCCATGTGTGTTAACCCTATGCAAAGCGCAAAACGCTTATAGACACAAAAACAAGCAAAATACTACATTAACACTCACATATATATAATAA